ACGCACGCGGTGCACGACTCGCAGGGGAAGCGCTCGCAGAATGGCCTGGATCCGCCGCGGGGGATCTGCGATCCGCTCCGTCGGGGCAACCGTGTGGTCATGTCGGGCGTTTGCGAGTGGGCACTCTGCGAGCCGTGCAGCGCGCTCGGTGGATGTTGGCCAAAAACAAAAAGGAAGTCGACGACGCAGCTTAGACGACTAATCCCTGTAAGCCAACAACACCTGCAGCACGGAACGCCTTGGGCAAGCCATTCGGATCCGCCGCGCACGATTCGCACGAAACTCTGGCGCCCCTTTGTCTGCGGAGGCCGTGCAGGCAGAGGTGAAGTGCCTCGGTGGGTCGAACGAGAACTGCGACGAAACCAAGACCAGGGCAGCGTCGAACCGTGACACCTCAGGGCTCCCTGGGATCCGGCGATGCTGGAGGACGCAGCGGGCGCCGCGGCCGCTCCTGACGAGGGCCGGGCGAAACGAGATGGGGGAAGCCAGAAGGGTACCCCGATACCGCTGCACTCCTCGGGGTGCCTTCGGACGAGATGTCGAGGCGAGTCCATGCGGTGGCACGAGGGCCTGCCAGGAGGCTGAACGAGGCGAAAACCAGACCACGGTAGCGGCATCCGTACATGTCCCTCCTCTGGTGAAAGGGGCGGGTGGAGGAAACGGGGGTCCACTTGGATCACCGCGGGCGTTGCTTCGTGGAGATGGGCTCGTAAGTGGATGCTAGGGTGGGTTGTTTGGAGAAAAAAACCTATAGACGGATACAAATGCCACGAGCGGCTCGAGTGGTTTCGGTAGCTCCGCCAAGTGGGCACAGCCCGCTCTGCCCAGATTTTCAGCCGCGTGGGTAACTCCCTGGACACTTAAAAAATAGGTTAGGCGATGCATAGCCCACCTTGGCATCCATTTACGGCTGGCGTCGCAAAGATGGCGTGCAACATCTACTTCCGAAAAAAAACACTATCCCTGCGAGGCGATCCCCCTGCGAGGGCCCCCTCTGCGCAAACTATCCCCCTGCGAAGGTCTCGTCGGTGCACGCTATCCCCGTGGCGGGGCTTCCTCGGCGCACGCTATCCTCTGAACTGGGGCTGGAGTGTAATGAGCGGGTTGCCGACGCCGGCTTCCTCGGCGCACGCTATCCTCTGAACTGGGGCTGGAGTGTAATGAGCAGGTTGCCGACGCCACATCGCGCGCTATCTATGCAAAGCCAACTGCGTGATCGACAGACCTGCCTAGCAACCCCCGCGATGATGCAAGTTTTGGCGGCGCGCACAAGGGGGCAGGGGGACAGCTCTCTCAAAAGGCGGCTGCTTCTTAGAAGGCGGCGGGCCCACCGGTGCAGGTGAGGCCCGCGCCTTCCAAGGAGCCTTCTCCCCCCCCCCGAATGCCCGTCCTTCTGCGCGCGGCCGACCCTTAGAACCCCCCACGGTGATCCAGTCATGGCGGATCAGCTCTTGCGTTCGGTCGGGCGTGTCCTCCTGCAGGCGGATTTGGGGCGAAAACTTAAAAATACCACCAACATGCTCCCAAATGGTCGAACATATACTAGAAACATCGTCCCCTGACCGTTTCTGGACTATTTTTGAATATCCCTCCTGTAGAGGGACAGGCCCGACTTGCTTCTAAGGAGTCGTCCCCCCTCCCCCAATGCCCCTCCTTCTGCGCGCGGCCGACCCTCAGAACCCCCCCCCGGTGATCCAGGCCTGGCGGATCGGCTCTTGCAGCCGACGGCCCCGGCGGCCCCGGGGCGCCCGAGGCGCGCGCGCGCGAGCGCGCGCGCCTCGCAGAGAGCGATCCCCGCGGCGAGGGCCGGGCACCGCTCGTGCTCCCCCCCGCTCCCGGTGCCGGCCCTTCCTCGCCCCCATCCCCGGAGCGCCTCGGAGGGTTCTCGTGGCGAACGTCCCAGACTGACTACCTACCAGACCACCCCAACCCAACCCGAAGACCCGAATTTGACCCGAATTTCGTGTTGGGGGGGGTACGGGTTCCATGTGTTTTTTCAGTGTTCCCCGACCCCCCCCACTGGAAATCAAGGATAAATTTGGGTCTTCGGGTTGGGTTGGGGTGGTTTGGTGGGTGGTGACAGACACCTCCGTTCGCCTACAGGCACCCCAATGGCTGGGCGTAGCTCGAACAACTCGCCAAGCGTGGGGGCCGTCAACGGAAACGGCCCAGGACGAGAAACAGGCTCAGTCAGCATCTGCCAGCACGTGTGCGACACGCTGGCGTCCACCCAGGATGGCCGGCTGTGCCTGGAAGTATCCCGACCGCCTCGGATCACGACAGCAATCACGACGGAAGGTCCTGTCCCGACCGTCCTGTGTGGGGCCCTCGGTTTGAATCCGCAGCGCCGCGCGTCGCCTTCTCTGTCTCCTCCTCCCCATCCTCCCTCCACTTCCTCATCCTCATCCTCATCCTCATCCTCATCCTCATCCTCATCCTCATCCTCATCCTCCTCATCCTCATCCTCATCAGCATCAGCGTCATCATCAGCAGTATCGTCATCATCATAATCATAAGCATAATCTTGATGATGATGACGATGACGATAATGATGATCATGATGAGGTTGATGATGATGATGATGATGACATTCATCATCAGCATCATCAGCATCATCAGCATCATCATCATCATCATCAATATCATCATCGGCCTTCCTCTTCGCCCCTCGTGGAGCTCCACACAACTACGGCCCCAGTGGGTGCGCTCGCACGGCGTGCCCGCGCCCAATTCTCCGCACACCGCAACCCTCACGAAGATCCTGCCCCACAGGGAGCTGCACCTACGGCCCTGGTGGGTGCGTTCGCATGGCGTCCTCGCGCGAATTACGGCACACCCTTCACGAGGATCCAGCACCACAGGGAGCTGCACCCACGGCTCTCGTGGGTGCGGTCGCACAGCATCCCCTCGCCCATTTCGACACACACCCCACGAGGATCCTGCCTCAGAGGGAGCTGCACCTAGGGCCCCGCATGGGTGCGTTCCAGTGAGTGCGTTCGCAATGGGCCCCCGCGCCCTTTCCGGCACACCACTCACAGGGATCGTGCTTTCCAGGCAGCTGCACCTACGGCCCCTAAGGGTGCGTTTGCATAACGTCCCCGCTAGCATTCCGGCACACCCCTCACACGTTTCCTGCCCCCCAGGGAGCTACAGCGATGGCCCCAATGGGTGCGTTCGCATGGCTTCACCGCGCCCATGTCGGCACACCTTTCACGTGTTCTCTTCCCCGGAAGGGAGTTCCACCGATGGCCCCAGTTGGTGCGTTCGCATGGCGTCCCAACGTCCCCGCGCGAATTACGGCACACCCCTCACACGTTTCCTGCCCCCAAGGGAGCTCCACCTATGGCCCCTGAGGGTGCGTTCGCATGGCGTTCCCGCACCCAGTTCGGCACACCTCTCACGAAGATCCTTCCCCTCAGGGAGCTCCACCTGTGCGTTTGCTTGGCGCCATGAGAGTGCGCTCGTGAATGCCCAAGATGAAGCGGAGAAGGGAGGAGGAGAAGGAGGAGGAGGAGGGAGGAGGAGGGGGAGGAGGAGGAGGAGGAGGAGGAGGAGGAAGAGGAGGAGGAAGAGGAGGAGGAGGAGGAGGAGGAGGAGGAGGAGGGGGAGGGCGAGGAGGAGGAGGAGGAGGAGGAGGAGGAGGAGGGAGGAGGAGGAGGAGGAGGGAGGAGGAGGAGGGAGGAGGAGGAGGGAGGACGAGGAGGAGGCCCGCGCATCTCTTGGGTCGGCGCTGGACCCTCCCTCCCCGGGCGCGCGAGGGCACGCCGTGGGGCGAACCCTCTCCAGCGCCTCTACACGGAGGGGAGCCCGGCGCCGACCTCGGAGGCGCGCCATGGACCGCCCGCAGGTTTTCGAAGGGGCCCATGGGGCACGCAAAGGAATAGACACAGGTCCCAGGATTCCCCCCGGTTTCGCACATCTTCTTGATGCTCGCCTCCCCCCCCCTTCCCATGTCTTCCCAAATTCTCCGGGGGATCGGCGATTCGTTGTCTGCGTAGTTCTCCCCCTCCTGAAATTTGTTTATGCCGAGCCTGGAAACAAGACGGTATTCCGATTCGGCGGTTCGACATTGGGCGGAAGGGGAGGCGGGGGAGGGAGGGGGGTCTGGATCGGGACCTCTGCTTAGCGCGACTGTTTGCAACAGTGCGTTCTACGGGGAGGACCCGACCTGCTTGAAACAGGCGCCAAAAACAGCCAAGATCTACTCCAGGGAGAGGGAGGGGGCGGGGGGGCGAGGGCCGCGCCGATCGGCAAAACCATGAATACGAGCACGACAATATAGTAGCTGATACTGTACTTCTTGTTTCACCGATCGGCGCGTGCCCTGGCCCCCCGCTCCCCCCCCTGAACCAGAACTTGACTGCTTCGGGCGGCCGCTTCTGGCGACTGGCCAGGGACCCCCCCCGTCTGCTCTTGCGCGACCGGTGAACGCAGATCAACCACCGCACCCGCCCAGGCCCAGACCCAGACCTCCACCCACTCCCTCACCCTTCGACCACAGTTCGGAGCCCAGGAGAAAAGAACGATTCCATAGTGCTACTCCGCAGACCTCTCATGGGGCACATTCGGATCCTAATTTCGAGGAGTATCCAGCCTCGGTGACGAGGCCTCTCCCTCCAGAATGAGCAATGGCATCGGCGCCTCGTGTTGCTCTGGGCTGTTCCCCAGCTAGGCTTGCCTACGGGGTTCTTACTTGGTCAGCGGTTGGTGCCTCGGGGTGCTACTTTGCCCGTTGCTCGGAGGTTCCTCGGGTTCCTCGGGTTCCCCGCCCCCGGTGCCTCGGGGGGTTACTTTGCTCGTTACTCGGAGGTCGGGTTCCTCGTTGCTCGGAGGTTCCTCGGGTTCCTCGGTTCCCATACCAAGCAGTGCCAAGCAATGCCAAGCAATGCCAAGCCATGCCAAGCACTGCGCCCATGCAGTAGGAAGCTTTCCCCTAATTGGGGTCGCGCCGGGTTCATGTCCCGTTCGAAAGGCAGCGTGGCTCTCCCGGCGAGGGGGTCCTTGGCCGACTTGCTGACCTTACGCTTCACGGCGTCGGCTTTCGGCACGGGAGTCACCTTCCCGCCGGCGCCTGGCTTGCCACCGGGGGCCGGGTCCAGGACCTGCCGCTGGTCGGCAAACCTTGCGCGGGATCAGCCAGCATCGAATCGGGAAACTGGCTCGGATCGGACCGCGCGTCGGATCGGGCTGCATCGGCGCGGAGTCGGAATGGAATCGAATCGGCTGCGCCACGATGCACAACAACACCTTTCCGGCATCGAGCAGCATCGGATCGACAGGAATCGGATCGTGTCGGCCGGAATCGACACCGAATCGACTCGATCGGATCGAAATGGACCCCGCCTGACGGGCACGCGCTCGATCTCCACCTCGGCAGCGCCCTCTTCGGCATGAAGGGCACAGGCCACCGAGGGAAACGGATGATCGGTTCTCGGGTCCTCTCGCCCAAGGGGCCCGTTTTTCGTCTGGGGCCATCTGTGGGCAGCCCAGAGGACCGTAGGAAGGTGCTCTTTTACGATTCTCGCTATCGGCATTTTCTGGGGATGCTCCCCTCCTCACCCCTCCCCTGGGAACAACACGGGTTGCGCCGGCGCCGTTTGGGAACTGCTAGGGGTAGTTAATTCCCCGGCGGCGCTGGCGAGAATCGTGACGTTACCGGCACCCTCACCCCGCCGCCGCCCCATTGTAACGGCTGTGATGGCCAGGGGTGAAGAAGCACTGGCCCTGGAGAGTCCAGGGAGGACAAACACAGGGAACAAAACTCGGGGCCCGTTTCTTGGATCGCCGCAGGGGTTGCTGAGGACCAAGTACCCAGACCGCCCACGTCATGATCTCTTCACGACGCGGCCCCCAGAGGTCCAGACCCATTCCCCGGGACAGGTTTTTCATCCTGCGTCATGTGTTGACGGTCCCGAGGGCCGCTGAGGGCTCGCAGAGGCCGAAAATAGCAAAACAACTTTCCGTCGCGATCCTTTTCACAACGCGACGAGGTCTGGGAGGGGGAGATGTGGTTCAGACGTGGATGCTAAGGTGGGCGATGTGAGGTCTGACCTAGTTAGCCCAGAAGGTAGGCTGGGATTGCTCTGAGTGGCTCCAGCTCGGAGCGCCATCCCCCGGAAGCACTCGCAGGGCATATGCTCTCCGCTTGCAGGACGTCTTCGGCCAGATACAGCCCACCTTAGTGCCCAGTTATACGGAGCATCGCTTAACCGATCCCCATCCCCAGCGGCGTGGCCTGGGCCCCACTGGCCGATTTACCCTCCTAGACGGGGATATAGGCCGTGGGTTTCGAGGGGTGTATCCCCAACTTGGGGGGGGAATTTGGTGGGGTCTCGAAGGTGATGGGGATAGGGATGGGGATCGGTTAAACGATACCTACGTACCCATCAGTCGGAAGTAGGTAGAAACATGAATTGGGAAGGCGTCGAAAGTAGATTGGGTTCAGTCCACCCCCCAAGGAGCACAGAAGAGGTGAGGCCACTCGACCATTGAAGTAGGAAGGCGCTGGAAGTAGATTGGAATCTGGGATTCCAAAAAACCGTACTTTCAACGACCAATAGGTACAGCCCACCTTGCTGCCCACTCATAAGTCCCCGACCGCCTCAGCAACCTCTGCGGTGATCACGACAAGATCTCAGGGCGTCTCCCTCAGAGCCCGCTTGCTTCATGCGGCCTCTTTCCGCTGCTCCCTGTACATGGTGACGCGGAAGCAGCGGCCAGCCTCGCCTGACAGCGGGGCGCCGTCGCTGTCGGCCATGCGCAGCACGACCTCTGGGGGTCGCTGAAGGTGTCTCTCGCTGGCCCACGGTTATGGGGCAACGACACGGGGGGGCCAGCGCAGGGAGGGATACACCGAGCCTGAATCGGCGATACATCGCCAGTGGATCGGCGATGGAGCCCTCGATGGCGAAACCACGCGCTCGTGGGATGGTGGGCAATCGGGCCCTTCTCGGCGATGGTCGGGCGATCGGGGTTTCGATGCCTCCCCGACGTTTCGCCGCACTTCGGAGCCGCGGGGGCCCTCTGGGCCCCCAAGGGCCTCGAGACGGGGGGCTTTCTGGATGCCATCGCGGCCTCCCTGAAGAAGCTGGGGACAGCTCGTTTGGAGCATCACGGGATATGCTACAAAAGAATATGCGGCTTCTAAGCGGATATCATCAATAGACGAGCGCGTTCTGCTACTCGCAGAGTGACTACTCGCAAATGGCCTGGATCCCCCGCGGGGGATCTACGATAAACTACATCCAAGCAGACATGTTTTTTTCTGACTTTTGCGAGTAGGTACTTTGCCAGTAGTGGAACGCGCTCGGCGACTCAAAAGCGGTGGGTTACATCTGGCCCAGTGCCTGGGCTCCCCCCCACATGCTGATGCCATCGGGCCCCCCCTCCCCCGCGCGATGGTCCTTCCCCCCCCCCTTGGGTATTGGTGCTGTGGGTGTGGCGTGTGTGGCGTGGTACTGAGGTGCTCCAGGAGAGCTCCGAATGTCGTCGTCGTCGCCGCCGCTGTCGCCGTCGTCGGAGGGCTCCGGAGGTCGGCGCTGCCGCCGCCGCCGCCGCCGTCGTCGTAGTCGCCACCGTCGTCGTCGTCGTCGTCGTCGTCGTCGCCGTCGTCGCTGTCGTCGTCGTCGCCGTCGTCGTCGCCGTCGTCGTCGCCGTCGTCGCCGTCGTCGCCGTCGTCGCAGTCGTCGTCGTCGTCGCCGCTGTCGTCGTCGTTGTCGCCGCCGTCGTCGTCGTCGCCGCCGCCGTCGTCGTCGTCGCCGTCGTCGCCGTCGTCGTCGTCGTCGTCGTCGCCGTCGCCGTCGCCGTCGCCGTCGTCGTCCCCCCCCCACTTCCCATCAGGGGGGGGGTCCCGTGGAGCCCTGGGGCCCATCCCATCTGGGGGCGGGGGGTGGGTCCGTGGGCCCGGAGCCTGGGGCCGTATCTGGCCGGCACTGGCTCTTACAAGTAGGCTGCAGAGGCCCTGCGCAGATGTTCTGTCAGACAACTCCGCAAAGTGGGCGGAGCCCAATTCGCCCAGATCCTGATCCTCCAGAGACGCTCTCGGCGCTGGCAACGCACTTGTAGGCCAGGGTCGGCCAGATGTAGTCCACCCAAATAACTAACTTCAGATGCTCATTCTGTGGACAGTATTGGAGCCACTCGCTCTACTCGTGTGTCGAAGCTGCGTCGAACGTCCGTCGACTCGAATCGAACCCGAGTCGAACCTGAGTCGAACTTGAGTCGAACCTGAGTCGAACTGGAGTCGAGCTGGAGTCGAACTGTAGTCGAACAGATCTGTTAGGTGGGCCCCAGGAAGGTCCCCAAAACAAGCACAGAACTAACTTACATCAACATATCCCGAGGCCGTCGACAGCGCGAGAGCAGAACTGAAAACCGACCGAGCCGACAGCGAGCCGACGCCGACCGAACCCGACACGCTGCAAGCGGCCTGGAGGAGCACAGCGACGCGGCAATGACACACTACAGTCAAAACGTGTATTAAGGACGGGCGGTAAAGACGCAAGACCCTTGGAAGCCGAAGTTGTTGTTTTCTTTGGGCGGCGGGCGACCAAAACCCCAGGGACGTAGAGGCAAGGACACAAGGGTACCCTAGATGGAGGCGCGCATCCTTCGCGCTCTGACTGTTAATCAACTGAAGCGAACCGACCGAAAACAACCGACTGCGATGCAACCGAACCGACCGAACCACGGACACCCTGCCCACAAATGTGACGTTCCCGGAGATCACGACGCTTTTCCCAAGGACGGTTTTTCATGCCAGGTCGCTTTTTAACTGCCCCAGGGGCCCGCGAGGGCTCCCTGCGGCCGAAAACCGCCAAAAACCTCCCGTCGTTTCTTTGCCCGCTACGTGAGCATGTATGAGATCCATCCCCTTAGCAAGCCACGCGGTGATGCAAATGGGCCAGAGGCCCTTTTTTCTTCAGACTCCGGCAAGTTGACTTGCCTGGATGGGGGAGGGGGGGGGGGCGTGGCGAGGCCCGAAAGGAAATCTGGACTTCACACGCACGTCAGGACTCACTCACTCGCTCGCATTTTCGGCCCGGCGCTGCTTGAACACGCGGAGGCGGAGGGGGGAGGGGGGGCAAGGTACCAAGCAAGCAAACGCCCTCCTTATTCTTCCCAGACATCCGATGGTGAACGTGTCTTTTTCGGCGTCCCGACGCCGGGCGGAAGGGGAGGGGAGGGGCGGGGGCTCTGGCTCTGGACCTCTGCTCAGCGCGACTGCTTGCAGCAGGGCGTTCCATGGGGGAGAACCCCCCGGCTTGAAACGGTAGCCAACACACAGCCAACATCTGCTCCATGGGGAGGGGCGGACGCGAGGGCCCGCGCCCATCGGCAACACAAATAATAAGAAATCGACCACATGGTAACTGACTTGTGAGCAGGGACTGACCGTCCCGGCATTCCTTAGGCCTACCACGACATGTTCTCAGAACCAACAAACATGCTCGAATCACAGTGTTCTTAGAACGTGAGCCCGATGTGTTAAAACAGGGCAATCTGGATCTGAGCCAGGAACGTTCTAAGAACATTTTTCGTGCTGTCCACAAGAGGTTCTTAGAACATTCTCTGGTGGGCCGATCGGCAAGCCAGGACGCTTCGCCACTGCCTGTGACCTGTTGCATGCGCGGCCCCCGGATGCCTCTCAACCCTTTCCCCCCCCCAGGGCAGGGCCCTCGCCCCGGTCCGCTTCTTCTGAAGGCCCCCAGGGCCCGGCGGGGGCCCAGTGGCCGAAAGCGGCCCCAGACTTCTGATGCTCCCGAGGTGCCTGAGGACCACGTCCCAGAGATACTTTTGAGCACCCAGAAAAGAATCGAAACGGTGCCGATCGAATCTCGCATCCCGGGGACCGCTACGTCAAAGCCCTCCAAGTTCGGTACTTTCCTGGTGCTCGAAATTCTTCCTGGTGGTCAAGGCTAAAATAAGTCGGAACATCATAGCCCCAAACCCGCGAACGTTTTCTGATTCGGCGTTTCGACATTGGGCGGAAGGGTAGTGGAGGGGCGGGGGGTTTGGCTCTGGACCTCTGCTTGGTGCGACTGTTTGGAACAATGCTCCCATGGGGAATCCTGTGGGGAGCCCTCCACCCGCTTGAAACAGGCGCCCAAAGCAGTCGAGATCTACTCCATCGGGGGGGAGGGGGGGAGGGGTGCGAGGGTCCGCGCCGATCGGCAAAACAATGGATAAGAAAACGATCACGTGAGCATGTCTGCTTGGATCACCGCGGGGGTTTACAAGTGAATAGGGACGTTCGTTATATGTGGATGCCGAGGTGGCTTGCATATGGCCTCATAAACTAGCCTACAAGTGCCCGCAGTGGCTTACAGTCTGGGCTGAGCTGCGCCCACTTAGCGGAGTGACCGAACCCTCCCGAGCAATCTAGGGCACAGGAAACCAACTTATACGTTAGCTGACGCCGGTTAGAACCAACGCTGGAATCCACTTTTAATCCCCACATCCACGAAACACCCCCGCGATGATCCAAGACATCCGTTCTTTCATTCTTCGCGAGAACGCCCGTACCCGGCCCCGCCCCCCGCTCCTTCCCCCCCCCTAATTGGTCACGTCACGAACATTCGCCACTCCTGAGCGTTGCCAAACGGTACTGACGCGAAGCGTGACGTGGCCTCCCTCCTCCTCCTCCTCCCCGCCAGGGGATGAGAAGACGCCCTCTGGCAGCCCCCGCGGGGATCCGAGCGCGCCAGGGGGCCAGCCCCTGGAGTCGGGGCCGATTGGAGAGGACACGCGAGGAGGACACGAGGACCCTTCCGAGGGGCCACACGGCCGGAGGAATGCAGAAAAGGCACTGCGCAGGACGTGCGCAGAAGAAGCACAACGGCATCAACATAGACTCCAGGCGATGCTTAAGAAAACCCAAGTTTTCGGCCAGAGTCTCGATTATTCTTAATGTTTCAATGTAAATCCTGACATTTGAATAGACATTCTGGGTTTGATTTCAAATTCTGAGACTATGAATTTCTTAACCCATGATTTCTAAAGCATTTCGCAGGGTGTAGACTCTTGGCGCTCCGAGCGGATTTCTTGGATCTGCGCTGGAACCCCCTACCTGACGCGCGGAGCGCGCGAGGGGCGGCGCCGGAGGCGCCGCTGGGAAGGCCCAGCGCGGATCCAAGAAATCCGCGCGGAGCGCCAAACGTTGATGTTTTTTCAGTCTGTTCTCCGACTTGCCGTGAGGAGTGCAAAGAGGCACTGCGCAGGACACGTGGGGGGGACCCCCTGAGACCCTGACAGGGCCGACCTACTCATCGGCCTCGACTGCAGGCAAGCGCCCGAAAGGCCTGCGGCAGGCTGGCCCCGGGCTGCAGGAGCAGCTCCGGCCCGCTCGGCGCCTCCGCCGGGGCGGGCCTCGGAAGGGCAGGGGGGAGGGGTCCCCAGGAGGATCGAGGATCGACGATCGAGGAGAATCGGGGATCGAGGAGGTTCGAGGATGAAGGTTCGAGAATCGAGGATGATCGAAGATCGAGGATCGAGGAGGATCGAGGATGGATCCGGGATCGAAGATGGATCGAGGATCGAGGAGGATCGGGCAGGTCGCGGTTCGAGGATCGTGGCGGATCGAGGATGGATCGGGGATCAGAAGTCCACGGGGGGACACGAGCGCGGTGTTTCAGGCTCAGGCTACTCGTGACGACTCCCGTTGACCACTGTGGACCGCACCCCCCCCTCCGCCCCCATCCCTTGGCAGCGTCACGATTTTCGCGCTGGCGACGTCTGGGGCAACTGCATTCCCAGACGGCCAGTGGGGACATACGTTCTTGGTTAGCGAGCGCGCGAAGCAAGTCGAACGCCGAGAGTGCTACGGCGGGCCGCGCCGGTAGCGACAGGGAAAGCCAGTGGGGACATACGCAAAGCGTCGCGCATTGCGTGGCTCTCACCGCCCATGGAGACCTCGTGGGCAGCGGTGGCGAAGAACGTCCGAAAAACTATAGATCCTCCAGCAGGTATCGAAGCAATGTGCTACTTCTGGCGGATTGCACTGCAGTGCTGTCGTGGCTGACTGCGGCGCGACTGACCAGATCCGACCTGATCGCCCAGAGAGCCTGCGGGCAAGGCGCGTGGGGTGAACAAAAGCGTTTTCCGATGCTCCGCTATCCTCTCGCAACGACTTGGTGGGTCGTTGCACATCGAATTCGCACGAAGCATCAATATCCTGAGAATAACAGCGCGGGGCACGAATCATCTTTGCAAACCGCGCATAAGGAACGCATTGCTAGAATGCCGTCACGACTCCAACCATCCCTTGAGGGCGAGGGTGGTTTAGGGCGGTTCCTCTTCCACTCCCGTTCCTCCCCTTCGAGGAGGGGTTCCGCCTTCCCCCTACCCCCCTGCTCCTAGGTCTGGACGGGGAAAGCGGCGACCGATCAGAAGGTCGAAGATAGCCCAGGATGGATCTGAGAGGACCCCAGATAGCCCCAGATGGCCTCCAAGATGGATCAAGATAGCGCGAGGCCGCTCGACATACTCGAGGTCCCAAGACTGCTCCAAGACGGGTTCAGGTAGCTATGGAGATTCCGCAGGACGCCTCCAGGAGGCCGACGCCCTTCCAAAACCGATGAGCCATCACTGCCCTGCGTCTTCTCTTGCGCTCACTTCTGATGGCCTTCCGAGGCCTCGCTGGCTCCAAGATGGCCCAACAGGGCCCAAAGATAGGCCAAAGAGAGCCTCAAGACAGCCACAAGAGCGCGCGCCAAATAAGGGCGCCAAGAGGCGGCATCTGGGATTCCATAGGGAGGGGAGTCTAATAGTAATGACCCCACCCACATAACTCGATCGATGTCCTCCAAGATGGTCCCAAGCAGGCCCCCAAGAAGGCCTCAAGAGGACCCTACCAAGAGGCCCCCAAAACGTCCCTAGGGGCCACACAGAGGCCCTCCGGGAGACATCCCCAGCGGCTCCGAGAGGCATCGAAGAGGCCTCTAGTTTAACAAGGTTCCCGAGGTATCCAAAGGATGCCACGCTCCCCCGATAAGGGGCAGCTCCTCTTGGCATCGATGATGGACGGGCTGGCGAGGATGCACGGATCCTCAAGAACTCAGATGTCAGAAGCAACACGCCTTTAGAATTAGGTCGGGCGTGTCCTCCTACAGGTGGACGTTGGATAATAAATCATGAATAATCAAAACATGTTCAAATATAGTCGAACCATCGTCCCCAGACTATGTTGTGACTATTTGTGAAGTTTCCTCCTGTACATGGATACGCCCGACTTCACTTGAGAGAAAGAGAAAGGGACACGTAAGCGAAAGAGAACGAGAACGAGAAACACACACATACATAGATGTAGAGAGAGAGAGGGAGGGAAAGAGCGAGTGAGCATCGTTTATCCGACCCCCATCCCCAGCGGTGTGGGACATGGGCCGTTACCCTTCGGGCTCCGAGGGGTGCATCCCCGACTGGGGGGGGTAATTCCGTGGGGGCCTCGAAGGGAGATGGGGATGGGGGATGGGCGTCGGTGATCAGCGACACGGACGAGGAGCCCGACCACTCGAGCGCGCGGGCGACGAGCGCTTAAGAACGATGGGCCGAGCAGCGGCCCCGGAGAGGCGGCGACGGAGCCCGAGGGAGAGCCGAGGCCCGGGGCCGTGCTGCCTCGCGGGGGGGGCCTCGGCTGGCCCATCGCGCCGGCCGTGCGTGTCGCATCCGTGCGGAGCCCATGGCGAGCGCGTCAAGCCCGTGCCGCATCCGAGAAGACTCCGCGTCGAATCCACGCCGAGTCCGCGCCGAGCCCGGCACCAATCCTGGGGACAGGCGAGGTCCTCCGAAGAGGCAGCGTGGCCGGGGGCACGATGGGGGGAAGGATGCCCGAGACGGCCACGGACAAAGGCGGACATCGGGCCTAGCGGCAAATTGGCGGCCACACTGACAGCGACCCATGCTCAAGAGGGAGAGGAACTTGGAGAACAATCCCCACACCCACCAGGGAAACCGTGGCCCCGCTGGGCCATCTGCCCCACCTGGGAAAAGAATGGGCACCGCCTCCTTCGGGTTCCAGAGCAGCCATCCCCACCCAAAGGGGGTACGCTGGGATTTGGACGCCCGAAATGGGTGCGGAAAAGATGGGTAAAATGCCTGCCTAACAGCAAACATTGTCCCAAGCCGACAGCGGCCGCTGTTGGGCAGGCAGCTTTCTGTCTTCAGCGAACAACGTCAGCGGCGGCGCGGGCAGCAGCTTCTGCTCAAAATAAACCAAAAATGGTGTTCAACATCGTACATCGTACCCATCGGTCAGAAGTGGGTAGAAACATGAAGTAGGAAGGCGTTGAAAATAGATTGAGCTCCGTCCGTCCCCTAAGGGGGACGGAAAAGGTGAAGTCACTCGACCACTGAAGTAGGAAGGCGCTCACAGTAGATCGGAACCTGGGAATCCAGAAGTACCTACTTTCAACACGACCGATGGGTCATCACCCGCTCCCATCGTCCCGAGGGGAGAGCCAGCTCACCCTGCCCCGGCGGGGCAGGGGATGGCTCCGCCGAGGACGGCGCGGCCGGGACTGCTGTCGGTCGCCGCCCTCGGCCTGGCCGTGCCGTGCTCCGGTCCTCCCGACGTCGCGCTGACGAGGTGACTCTTCAGTCTCGGGGGGAACGAGGAACGACAGAACACGTGCAAGCTGGGAGGTCCGCGCGGATTTGTCGGATGGGCGCTGGGGCCCCCTCCCTGGCGCGCGGAGCGCGCCAGGGGGGTCGCAGATCTGGGCTGTCGACAGCGACGCCGCGCCGAAAGGAGCGGGGGGGGGGGCAAGGAGACGACTGGAGGGCTCCCACTAGGAACAAGGAACATCGATACCACCAGCAGAGTGAGGCGCGCCAGGGAGGGTCCTCTCTGCAGTGTGTCTTCCCGTCTCGGTCGAGGCAACCCCCAATCCCAGAGGCCTCCTAGATGGGGTCGGCGTAGATGGGGTCCAAGGATCGCGCCGCATCGCCGATACATCGGCGTTGCATCGGCGTTGCATCGGCGATGCGTCGGCGATGCATTGCCGACGTTGGCGGTGCACCGGCGACGCCGGCGTGAAGCTAATGGGGCTCCGCATCGATCCGCACTGGCGATGCATCGGCAGTGCGGCGCGATCCTCCGACCCCAGCTACTCCGACCCCATCTAGGATTAGGTCGGGCGTGTCCCCCTACAGGCGGTTTAAGGTAGCAAAAACAATTCAAAATAGTAGACACACAAAAAAACAAAAACGTCCCAAAACTATAGTTTTGACTCTTTTTTGGATATTCCTCCTGTAGAGGGACGTGCCCGACTTAAAGCTACCCCGACCCCATCTGGGAGGCCTAGGCTTATGTTGCTCCCATCGTACTTAAGGAACACGTCCAAAACATAATTTCGAGCACCTGGAAAAGTGTCGAAAGAGTGTCGAAACAGCGTCGGACGAGTGTCTTCCAGGGCCCGACACGTGAAAACCATCTAGTTTTGGGTATTTCCCTGGTGCTCGAAATTCGTGTCTGGTGATCGAGGCTAAATTAGGTTGGGATCTCATAAGTCTAGGCTATCCCCCAGCTCGGGGAGGCATCGTGGGCCCTCTCGCTCGGGAGGTGCCCCCCCCCCGGTGGTGGTGCTCTCGCCTCTCTCCGTCCTCCGAGGCCCTCGGGGGCCTCTGGGCCGAGGGCAAAAAACTCCACCCCCAGAATACCCACCCCGACAAGCGAAGCCGTGCAGTAAACGCACTCAAATGTGAGCGTTTTCTCAGTCGGCGTTTCGACATTGGGCGGAAGGGGGGGGGGGGAGGGGGGGGGTCTGGCCCTGGACCTCTGCTTGGTGCGACTGTTTGGAACCGTGCGTCCATTGGGGGAGGCTCCACCTGCTCAAGGCAGGCGCCAGAAACAGCCAAGATCCACTCCAGGGTTGGGAGGGGGGAGACGGGGGGGTGCGAGTGCCCGCGCCGATCGGTAGAACAATGAATCAGAAATCGATCACAAGAAGGAACCGAACAAGGAAGGGCCGTTCAGTAAACGCCCCGGACCGCTTGGCAATCGCCAGTGATCTGGTCCAGGTGGTTTCTCTTCCCTTGCCTGGGGCCTCCAGGGGATCTCCTGGCGAGGTCTAGGTCGGGCATGGTCCTCCTACAGGCGGATGTGGAAGGATAAATAATGAATAGTCAGAGCGTACTCAGAAATAGCCAGAACAGAACGAAGAATCGTCCCCAGACTATTTTCTGACTATTCTTGAGTTCGGGGGCGCGCAAACATGGATTAGCGATCCATGGATCAGGCGCGCGGTCGCCAAATCCATGGATCGGGGGACGCGCACTCCCCGAAATGCGGCCGGTGCCGCCTCGCTCGGCGGCGGGAATCCGCGATTTCCCATGGAAGCGGGACCAGTCGCTAATCCACGCCTCCTCAATCCGTTTGCGATCGCCTGCTGGGTTTTCCTCCTGCAGAGGGACTTGCCCGACTTCAGGCGAGGTCCGCGCGGCTCCCTCGCATCGGCAAGGCAGCCCTCGTAAGCGGTGCCTCCGGAACTGCTCCCCCGGCACCGCGGAGTGCGCCAGAGAGGGGGGGGGGTCCGACGCCGGTCCACGCAGTCCTCGCGGACCTCCCAAGGCAGGGCTGGGCCTGAACGTTGTTTTTCGTTTTGCTTTCGTGCTGCTTTTCGTTTTGTGGTTCGTCTTGTGTTCGTGTTGTTTTTCATTTTAATCTGCCTGTCTTCCTGCACCTCCCTCCCCCCAAAAAAAAACAAAGCACGGCCGAAGTCCAGCAGCACAGCGTTTCGGTCCTACCCTGTGCCAAGGTTCCTACTTATGCCACTCCTTGCTGTTGCTCGTTAATCGAATGCAGTCTTCGCGTGGCCCCTGGCCTCCCAGATGGGGTCCGCGTCCCCGACCTTCCAGGAGCCAGGAGGGCCAAATAATAGCACCAGGACCTCGACATCTCAATTCATGTCGAGGTTCTAGGCAGTCCAGATCGGTCTTTAGGTCTGGAGGGCTACTTTGTGGCACTCTGGAAGGTCAGGGATGGATGGGGTCGAAGGATCGCGCCGATTCGCCCGTGCATCGGCGAGGGATCGCGCTTCGCTGGGGCCCGGGCGCGCCCGCTTCCTTGGCCTTCTTGGCCGCGGCCGCCTCCTTGGCCTTCTTCTCCTCCGGGGCCGCAGACGCTCCGAGAGAGAGGCCTCCCACGAGCGTGCAGGAAGCGGGCCCTACTTGGATCACCGCGGCGGGTGCTACGTGGATGCAATCAGCCATGACAAAAAAAAGCATGAAGCCACAACAAAACATGAGAAAAAACCTGACTCCTTGCAAAAAACATGAGACAAAACATGAAACCATGAAAAAGCATGAAAAAACAATGCAACATGAAACAACACGAAACAAAAACAATGAAACAACAATGAACCCAGCAAACCAGGAAAAAGCTACCATAGGGGGCGCCGAAGGACGACCAGAAGGACCTGGCCACGGCGAGCCTCGGCCACGAATGGCTGTCCCGACCTGGATCGAAGGAGCGGCTCGAGAACCCAGTGCCTCTCCTGAGCGGCGCCTTGACTGGCAGGGGTGCTGTAATGTCCTTTATGAAAGGGCCTAGGGGCACACAAACACATACACACAAATCCCAGGATTCCTCATATTCTCATATATGTGTTGGATTATCATATTTCCCCCCGCTTCCCACATTTTCCCACGTTCTCCTGGGAATCAACGAGTAAGCGTGTGTGTTGTGTGTGTGTGGTGTGTGTGTTGTGTGTGGTGTGTGTTGTGTGTTGAGTTGTCTGTTGTGTGTGTTGTGTGGTGTGTGTGTTGTGTGTGTGTTGTGTGTGTTGTGTGTGTTGTGTGTTGTGTGTGCGCGTTGTGTGTGTGTGTGTGTTTTGTGTGTTGTGTGTGTTGTGTGCGTGCGTGCGTGCATGCGTGCGTGCGTGCGTGTGTGCGTGCGTATGTGTGTGTGTGCGTGCGTGCGCACGTGCGTGCGCGCGTGCGTGCACGCGTGCGTGCGTGCGCGCGTGCGTGCACGCGTGCGAACGTGCGTGCGTGCGTGCGTGCGTGCGTGCGTGTGCGTGTGCGTGTTTGTGGTTGTGTTTGTGTTTGTGTTTGTGCTTCTTGTGTTCCTTGTGTTTCTTGTGTTGATTGTGTTTCTTGTGTGTTGTGTGTTGTGTGTCGTGTGTGCGGTGTGCGTTGTGCGTCGTGTGTTGTGTGTTGTGTGTTGTGTGTTGTGTGTTGTGTCGTGTGTCGTGTGCTGTGTGTGGTGTGTGTGTTGTCTGTGGTGTGTGTTGTGTGTGTTGTGTGTTGTGTGTGTTGTGTGTTGTGTGTGTGTTGTGTGTTGTGTGTGTTGTGTGTGTTGTGTGTGTTGTGTGTTGTGTGTTGTGTGTTGTGTGTGTTGTGTGTTGTGTGTTGTGTGTGGTGTGTGTGTTGTGTGTGTTGTGTGTGGTTTGTGTGTTGTGTGTGTTGTGTGTGTGTTGGTTGTGGGTGCTGTGGTGTGTGTGTGTGTTGTGTGTGTTGTGTGTGTGTTGTCTGTGCTGTGTGTTGAGTGTGTTGTGTGTGTTGTGTGTGTTGTGTGTGTTGAGTGTGTTGTGTGTTGTGTGTGGTGTGTGTGTGTGTGTTGTGTGTGTGGTGCGTGTGTTGTGTGTGCTGTGTGCTGTGTGTGTTGTGTGGTGTGTGTGTGTTGTGTGTTGTGTGTGTTGTGTGTTGTGTGTGTGCTCTGTGTTGTGTGTGTTGTGTGTGTTGTGTGTGTTGTGTGTGGTGTGTGTTGTGTGTTGTGTGTGTTGTATATTGCGCGTGTCGTGTGTGTGTTGTGTGTGTTGTGTGTGTGTGTGTGGTGTGTGATGTGTGTGTGTTGTGTGTGTTGTGTGTGGTGTGTGTGTGTGGTGTGTTGCGTGTTGCGTGTTGTGTGGTGTGTGGTGTCTGTTGTGTGTTGTGTGTTGCGTGTTGTGTGGTGTGTGGTGTGTGGTGTGGTTTGCAGTGTGTGGTGTGTGGCGGGTGCGTGTGTGTGTGTACGTGCGTGTGTGTGTGTGTGTGCGTGCGTGCGTGCGTGTGTGTGTGTGTGGTGTGTGTGTGTGTGGTGTGTGTGTGTGTGCGCGCGTCCCCCTCCTGACTTAAACGCGTACAACAATCTGGGGGGACGTCAAAAAGCGGGGGACCCGCCCCCCCCCAAAAAAAGCCCCAAGGCGGGCGAAGAGTGCCCCGAGAGACCCCCAAGATGGTCAAAGACGGCCCCGAATCGCCGAACGAGCTGTCCAAGATGCCTTCACGGCCTCCAGACGGCCCAAGAGCACTGCAAGACCCTCCAAGAGGCCCCCAGGAGCAACCCCAAGAGGGTCCCAAGAGGCCAAATTAAGGGATTTCCCATAGGTGTTTGAAGCATTTCGGCGTTCTCGCTTCGTCCGCTTCCCGACGCTCCAATAGGCCCTCCAGATCGCCCCAAGAGAGCTCCAGGAGGGAGCCAAACCGACCCAAGAAGGCCCCAAGACGGCCCAAGACGCCTCCAAGACGGCGCAAGAGGCCCCAAGACGGCTCCAGGAGGGTGCGCGGACGAGGGACCAGAACGGACACTTCGAGCCCTCGGCCCCGAGAGGCTCCCAAGAAGCCCCAGAAGGCCCCAGGAGGAGGCAGGAGGCCAAAGGAGGAGGCAGGAGGAGGAGGAGGAGGAGGAGGAGGAGGAGGAGGAGGAGGAGGCGGAGGAGAGGGAGGAAGATGGAGACGAGGAGGCGGAGGAGGGAGAGGGAAAGGAGGAGGGAGAGGGGGAGAGGAGGAGAAGGAAGAGGAGGAGGATAATGAGGAGGAAAAGGAGGAGGAGGAGAAGGAGGAGGAGAAGAAGGGAGAGGGAGAGGGAAACGGAGGAGGAGGAAAAGGATGAGGAGGAGGTGGTGGAGGATGCAAGTGGAGGAGGCGGCAGGGGTTGAGGTAGGAGAAGGAGCAGGCAGGGGGAGAAGGAGGAGGCGTGAATAGGAAGGAGAATGGAAGGGGCTGGAGGAGATCCCCAAACACTTTAAACAGATTATCATGTGGGGTCCTACCGTCGGAGTATGTTTTTGAGACAACCAAACGCTGGGCCCCAGAGGGCCCGGCTGCATTTCGGCTTCTCTGAACCAAGACATGCTTGGGAATTGACGTAAAGGCCTCTCATAAACCCCCCCGTATCCTCAGCACCACCCGCGGTGGTCCAAATAGGGGGGTAACTATTCGGCCTAAGTGTGTTCCGCTCTCATAGCGTAGTCCTCCAAGCCCCTAAGCCCTAAGGACACTTGCTATCCACATATATAAGCTAGGCTAGGCCAAATATAACCCACGTCAGCATCCACCTAGAACAGCCCATCCCCTCTCAACACCCCCGACGGCGCTCGGATTCCAGGACCCCTGTGGCTCCTGTGGCCGTCAACGTGTCCCAGGACCGTCAAGAAGCTACCACGGATGAAGAATCCGTTTCCCTGAGGACTCGCTTCACGCATGACGATTACTACAGCCATTGACAACAGGGACATCGTGCCGAAGCGATGCAACAGAGAGTGCGTAATTACATGGGCGGTCACGAAGTCCAAGGCCACCAGTCACGCAATTCAATGGGTTCGGGAACCGATGTCAGCTGATCCCAAGAGGAAATGGATGCGGATGTATTCTCTCCCCCAGCATACTAACACTTTAAATGTCCCTTGGCTCCTGGCGTCGTGAGTGGGAAGATGGTGGGATTGTATAATATCTGGCCTCAGGCGATGGCCAGTCATGTCAGGCAAAGCTCGGGGAGACGTAAGACTCAGGTCCGGGGGGCTCAGGTTGGCCTGACGGGGGCCATCATGAACATGACGAGACCCAATCTGAAATTTGACGCGAACTCCCGCTGCAAACATCCCACGGAAACCGGACCGTCAACATTCCAGGACGCGCTCGTCAAAACACGCAGGCAAAACCGAGTTCCAGCTTACTCGAGTCTTACGTTTCCCCGGAAAACAAGTCAATGGGTACATGAAGACACCGCCTGATGAGGTGACTGTCGTGGCGAAGTTGGAGATGTAAGGTCAAGGCTCATGGGGCGCTCGAACCCGCTGGGATTACGGATGCCGCACAGTTGCTCGATGTTGGCGGCACCAGCTGACGAAATTCATCAGGACGGGTCAGGACAGGCAACGACACTCCAGCATGACCAGCTCAGGTAAACACATGAAACACTAACACCAAAGCACGACAATGCAACGCAATACGCAAAGCATTCGGAACGACGGAGGCGACGCGCACGGGTAGACTGCGACAGTTCAAACGGGAGCGGAGAAGCGGGAACAGAAAGGGCGGCGGGGCAGGATCCTTGGCGTCGAGGAGCTGATCAGCGGCCTCCTCCTCACCAGCGAGGGGGAGGGGGGCGAGACTCAGAAAAAAAACAGCACCTGGCGAAGCAGGGGGACAGTGGGGGACGTGGAGGAAGAGTCGAAGATAATAGAGGAACACCAGATGCCCCATACAAGCGGAACCCTCAGCAAACGCATCCAATGAAGACATCATTAAGCAGACGCTCAGGGGGTCGGGATGATTGGTCCTACTTGCCCCCCCCCCCAACAGGTGGAGAAAGAGAACATCGTCCTCCTCGCCCCCCCCCCCTTCGGGTGTCGTCCCGCCAAGCTCCTTTAGCAGCGCTGTGGTGCCAGCAGAATAAAGATCGTCGACCCCTCTAGGGATCCGATGTGCCCGCCCCACTCCCCATCTCCCCAAACCCCTCCCCAAGAAAAGCGCATGATACGATAAGTCGGCATACGCTTGGGTCGGGCATGTCCTTCTACAGGCGGATGTTGGACGACAAATAAACGCTGGTTAGTCAAATCATACCGGAGAAAACACCCAATGAGTCTCTTTTGATCTTACATAGGCTTCTGAAGTCTGTGAAGGCTATGAAAGCCATGAGGGCTATGAAGTCGATCAAGGACTATAGGGCTATAAGGCTATAGGGCTATGCGGCTGTAGGGCTGCAGGGCAATAGGGCAATAGGGCTGTAGGGCTATATGGGCGATTGGGATATTCGACTTTAAGGCCATAAGGCTATAGGGCTATATGGGCTATTGGGATACTCGACTATAGGGCTATAGAGCTATAGGGCTATAGGGCTATAGGGCTATAGGGCTGTAAGGCTGTAGGTCTATAGGGCTATAGGTATACAGGTGGGCTCTATAAGGCTGTATGGTTATAGGGCTATATGGCGATAGAGAACCCGGGCACCCCCGGGCACCCCCGGGCACCTCCGGACACCCACGGGCTCCCCCGGGCCCCCCCGGGCCCCCGGGCCCCCGGGCACCCCCGGGCACCTGGGCACCCGGGCAACCGTGCTGGCCACCAAAATCGGCGACGAACCTCACCTAACAATATGAATCAGCTAGGACCCCTACAGAGGCAAGCTCTGATTGTGGGAAAAAACAGAAGAGCAGGAAAAATCGTCCCCAGATTTTGTTTATGCTATCTTTGAATCTTCCTCCTGTAAGGGGGACATGCCCGACTTCAGCATGAGCACGCGCTTTCGAGCTCCGAATACCTGCAGCCACCCTGCGCCCAGAAGCAGAGCTGGACAGGAAAGCGACATACCTGCTCTGGCCACGGAGAGCCTCGGGCACACAGGGCTCGCTTCCACGATCCGGCTCTAGGGCACGCGCGGCCCGAAAACTGGAGCCCCTCTCCTGAGCCCCAGAGCGGCGCTCTGATTCAAGGAGGAGGCAGGAGGAAGAGGAGGAGGAGGAAGAGGAGGAGGAGGAGGAGGGCGGAGGGAGGTAAGAGGAGGGAGGAGGAGGAGGGAAGAAGGGGAGGAGGGAGGAGGGAGGAGGAGGAGGGAGGAGCGTACTGGCCCAACGTAAAAATGCAGGCAGCCTGCTCTTCTTCGAAGGAAGGGGGGGGCGCTTCGCGGGGAGTCCTCCGGGAGGGGGAGGGGGCTGCAGAGCACTCGAGACCCGTCGCCCTGGCTCCCCCCCCCTCCCTCCCAGCCTCAGGGTTAGGTCGGGCGTGTCCCCCTAAAGTCAAACAGTACTCCAGAATAGTCAAGAATAGTGGAAATATCGCACCCAGACTGTACTTTGATTATTTCTAAGTGTTCCTCCTGTAGAGGGGCGTGCCCGACTTAACCTCAGGGGCAACGCGACAGGGGGGCCGGCTCAAGGGGGGAAGCGTCGACCTGGAATCGGGGATGCTCCGCAAATAGATCGGCGATGCGCCCGCGATGGCGACTCCGCTCGCTCCTGGGCGGTGGGCCAACGGGCCCCTATCGGCGATCCATGTGCGGGGTCGTCCATCGTCGCAGGCATAGAGGTTGACACCAACACCAATATCGGCGGTGTGCCACCACCGAGGGAAAAAGATCCCGATCTCGGTGATGGTGGAAATATTCTGGCTTCAAAGGTGGCCGAAATATTACCACCAACAACGAAATCGAGGATCATCTTCCTCCCGTGGAGGCAATCCCCTGTGTTGGTGTTGGTGCCGATTTCCAGGCCTCCAAGTCCAGGTCTTTGTTCAGGTCTTCGTTCCCTCCTCCTCCTCCTCACCTTCAAGTGGGCCCCAGAAGCGGTAGGGCAGCTTTTCCACCGCTGCCGAAAACAATCATCCCTTGAGCATGGAAACGATGGAAAGAAACGGCACCCCCAAAACGGAAGAAAAGCTCCAGAATTGGAAGCACAAGCAGAACCGGAAACCAGCCACAAAAACGGCCAGCGACAGAACCGGAGAACAAGCGGCGCCGGAACTGGCAAACCAACGGCCAAACGGAACCGGTAACAAAAACGGCCCTGTCGTTTCCAGGGCCCACTAAGCTCGGGTGTTGATGGAAGTGCCACTTGCCCAAGGTGCCCCGAGCTTTTCGCTCCATTTTGAGGGCCCCGGGGCCCTCTGGTCCTCGTGAGCGGTGCTCTGGAGGCCGTCTGGGCCACCCCGAGAATCCTGGGAGCACCTCGAGCCAGGGGTACTTCTAGCAACACCTGATAAGCTCCTCCACCTGCCCTGATCAGCTGGCGCAGTGCTTCACCCAACTCTGAACCTAGAGCATGTTTCGCGCTGGGCTTCGGCGACACGCCAGAGTGACCCAGGGCACGAGAGACCTTTGTTGCGCGGCCCTTGGCGGGGCCGCGGTGGGGCCGAACTCGGGCGCGCAGGACGTTGCTCTCGCATCGCGTTCTCGGCGAGCGGGGGACCCCACCTTGAGGCCCGCACTGCACGCCACCCCGGCGAGGAGCCACTCTTCCCAATATACGTGCAGCCGACACGCTGCTCCATCTCCCGGCCCCGCGCACGCCCGGGGCGGAGGACCCGCGCCGGCTCCCTGCGGGCCACCGTCCTGCCCCGTGGCCTGTCGCCGATCAGGGGGCGCCCTTAAGGGGCCCCGTCAGCGATGGATCCCCCCCGGAGCCCATGCCGTCTCCCCTCGCGTGGTTGAAAACATCACGACGGGAGCCTCCTCGCCAGTTTCGGCCTCTGGGCGCCTTCGCCAGGCCTCGGGACCGTCGAAGCAACGACTCGGGATGAAAAACCGGTCCCGGGGAAGGGGTCCAGACCTCTGGGGGTCGACGTCTTGAAACAGACATGACGTCGGGGGTCTGGGTACCATTAGGTCAGACATCTCCTCCTACTGACGGATTTTGGAGGACGAAGATTTAAACACGAACTAGTCAAAAGTCGTCCCCAGACTGTTCTTGAACGTAGTCTGGGATATTCCTCCTGTACAGGGACATGCCCGACTTCACTATGGGGGTTGACGTTGTGAAACAGAACCGACGTCGCTGGTCTTCGAATACGTGATCAACTGCAGAATTGATTGATCCCGAAATTGATTTTTCGTCGAATCTAGAAGCGGAGAAGTAGAACGTTCGTGGCCTGCTGCGTTTTCCTTCGGAGAGTCGATCACCAAAAACAAGTTTGGGGTAAATCAATTGCGCGAACACTCGGGCCACGTGGCGGCTGGGGACTGGGGGGAAAGAGGAGGCGGCGGCGGTGGTGGAGGAGGAGGAGGAGGAGGAGGAGGAGGAGGAGGAGGAGGAGGAGGAGGGAGGAGGAAGGAGGAGGAGGAGGAGGAGGAGGAGGAGGAGGAGGAGGAGGAGGAGGAGGAGGAGGAGGGAGGAGGAGGAGGAGGAGGAGGGGAGGAGGAGGAGGAGGAGGAGGAGGAGGAGGAGGAGGAGGAAGGAGAGGAGGAGGAGGAGGAGGAGGAGGAGGAGAGGAGGGAGAGGAGGAGGAGGAGGAGGAGGAGGAGGAGGAGAGGAGGAGGAGGAGGAGGAGGAGGAGGAGGAGGAGAGGAGAGGAGGAGGAGGAGGAGGAGGAGGAGGAGGAGGAGGAGGAGGAGGAAGGAGGAGGAGGCGGAGGAGGGAGGAGGAGGAGCAGAGGAGCAGAGGAGGCCCGCGCGCGGCCGCGCGAGGTTTCCGCGCGAGGTTTCCCGGGTGGCACACGATCGGCCCCGAGGTCGGCCCCGGGCCAGGGGCCCCGGGGAGCCAGCCCGACGGGGCCCGCAGGAGGGGGCCCGAGAAGTCCATGAGGTGTCTCCATGGGGTGCTCCAGAGAGGGGGAGGAGGAGGAGGAGGAGGAGGAGGAGGAGGAGGAGGAGGAGGAGGAGGAGGAGACTGAGGGGAAAGAGGAGGAGGAGGAGGAGAAGGAGGAGGAGGACGGCCGGAGAGCAGGATGGGGAGAGCGACAGCGCGGCGAGGGAGGGTGGGTGGGCGGGGAGGCAGAGAGAGAGGGCATGGACATGGAAGATGAAAGAAGGGGGAAGGGAGCGGAAGGGGGGGGAGGAGGCGCGGAAGCACGGCAGAAGGGTGCAGACGAAAGACGGAGGCGAGTGGCGAGAGGGGGGATGCGACTCCTCCTCCTCCTCCTCCTCCTCCTCCTCCTCCTCCTCCTCCTCCTCTTCTGCAGCCCCCCTGCCCCAGACGACGGTCAGGTCTCCATTTTCCCTCTCCAATCCCTCCTCCTTCCTCTCCCAGCTCCTCCTCCTCCATCCCTCCTCCCTGCCCCTCTTCTCGCCATCCCTCGGACGTCCAGCCCCCGTGCAGTGTTCGATGTTGCGCGTGTATACTTTTCCGCAAGATGCTCCCAGGTGCTCCCCGAGTGTCCTCACCGAAGAAAAATGCACACGTCCGGGCGATGCCAAGCCTCCCTCTCCCAACTCCTCCTCATTTATCCCTCCTCCCTGCCCCTCTTCTCCTCGCACTGCCCCCTTCCGCCTCTGACGCAGGCGAGGAGCAGCAGGAGATGGCCGGCGACGTGCGACGAGGACCGACGACGGACGAAGATGACGGCCACCGAGGAAGACGCAGAGACGGACGACGGAGGACAAATGACGACGAGAAATGATTATGGAAACAAAAAGCTCGGCGGCGAGAGAGGGGGGGAAACGAGAAGGAGAAGGCCTTCTCAGAAGGCGGCGGGGCTTCTCAGAAGCCCCGCCGCCGTCTGATCGGGCTTCTGTGTCTTCGGGGAAGGCTTCGAACACTTCTCGGGAGGCCGGGGGATTGCGAGCCCCGTGCGAAAGGCCCGCCCCTCCGCACGTCCGCCCCCTCGCCCGCCGCCGAACAAAAAATACCACAAACCGAATTTCTCGGAGGTCCGCGCCAAGTTCTTGGGATCGGCCACGGATCCCCGTCCCCGGCGCGCGGAGGGGGGCCAGGGGGCGGTGACGGGGGCGCCGCCAGGGGGGGGGGGGGGGGGGGGCCGGGGCAGCGCCGATCACCCCAAAAACCCGCGCGGACCTCAAAGAAATCATGTTTGTGCGCCGCCAGGGGGGGGGGCAGCGCCGATCACCCCAAAAAACCCGCGCGGACCTCAAAGGAATCATGTTTGTGCAGCTTCACCTTCTTCGGATCTGATGACCGTCGGACCGAGGCATATAAGATCGAGGTCGGGTCGGGGAGGGTATATAAGGAACCGAACTTCATACACCGATGCTTTTTTTTCCGGTCCCGCACTGAGATTCGCACAAGAAAGACGGATTATGGTGCATACGGCATCCTAGTGCAGACATGTTTCGTTGTTTCCACGGGAAAGCGCGGAAACGAGTATACACCACACCACCCCGACGTCGTCCCCGACCCTCAAACCTTCCTGGGATTGAACAACAGCCCGCCACTGGTAATGTATCCAGTTCCCGAGGGTACTCTGATGCTTTTCGAATATGTTGGGTGTTCTTGTGCATTCTGGGGTAGGATACCCTCATGTTTCAATACGCGGTCACCGAAGTCCCAACCCTTTCCCTAGGGCCGGATTTTTCATCCCGAGCCGTTTTTGACGGCCCCAGGGCCAGACGAGGGCCCCCATAGGCCGCACATGGCCAGAAACCTCCCGTTGTGAGTTCTGTTTCAGGCGCGATCGTGTTCTTGAGGGATGCTCTTCTGTCCCAACTCCGACAGTAAGAAGGCAACTACTGGGAGTTCTTCGTCGGAAAGATTCAGAATTAAGAAGGATTAAGCCCCATTGGGGGGCTCCTACGTCCGATTAGGCCGCGGATTAAGCGTGATTAAGCCAGTTTGAGCCGGACTAAGCGGGATTAAGCGGGATTAAGACAGATTCGGCGGGATTAAGCCGGATTTCGGACCAGAGCAAAATCCGAATTCGACCCCCCAGGAGTTGCATCCGAACGACAGCAACGACGCCCCACCTTCAGCGCCGAGCACGCGGGCAGGTAGGACTCCGAGGTGCCCGCGGCGGCCAGGTCCCAGGACGAGGGCACCGCGGCCGGCAGGCCGCCGGCCCACTCGCCCTCGAAGGACAGGCCTATCCTGGAGGGGAGGGTCCTTTTCCTCCCTTCTCCTCCTCCTCCTCAATCCTCCTCCTCCTCCTCCTCCTCCTCCTCCTCCTCCTCCTGGTCCGCCTCCTCTGCTCCTTCGCGTCCTCCTTCCTCCTTTCTTCTTTTTCTTCCTCCTCCTCCTCCTCCTCAACCTCCTCCTCCTCTCATCCTCGGCTTCCTTCCTCTCCTCCCTCTCCTCCTCCTCCTCCTCCTTCTTCTTTCTCCGCCCTCCTCCTCCTCCTTTTTCTCCTCCTCCTCCTCCCTCTCCTCTTCCTCCTCCTCCTTCTCCTCCTCTTGTTCTTCCTCCTCCCTCCCCCTTCATCCTCTGGGAGGGGGGCAGGCTCGAGGATCGACGGTGTGTGGGGGGGACGACGACGGCGGTGGCGGCGGCGCTCCCACATGGAAGCGGACGCTGGACGAGCACGGAACGCGTAGGACACTGGAAGAGCGGTTGCACGGACGAGTGTGGGGGGGACTACCACAAACTGGAGCGGGAGGGTGAGCAGCTTCGGGGGGGAAACACATAAGCATGAGGACACATAGGAGAAAAGAGGAGGAGGAGAGAGAGGAAAAGGAGGAGGAGGAGGAGGAGGAGGAGGAGGAGGAGGAGGGAGGAGGACGAGCAGGAGGAGGAGGCGGAGGAGGAACCAGATAGGTAGAAACGAAAATGTGAAAAAGGTAACGATAGAAGGGGACTCTGCCTCAAGGGGAACATAGATCTGGAATCGGCGATGCGACGACGATGGACCGGCGACAGGCTACCAATTTTATGTTGCGCCCATCGAATCAGACGACCACATCCCAAACACAGACTCTAGCACCAACCGGAGATGTCCGCCGCCGTGCCTACAGCACGTTGAGGTGTGGAAGAATGCCAAGGGCTGTCTGGCAGGGTCTCTGTAGTCTTCTGAAGGACCCCCCTCTGCGGGACACAGACTGTCACCACCTGGGCCCCCCCTACCCCTGGGGATTCCTCGGCGGCCACGGGGGCTTTCCAAGGCTTCCACGACGGCCCAGGAGGCCCCCAAGACGGTCCAAGAGGGCCCTGGGTCACCGAACGATCGCTCGAAGACGCCCAAGATGGCCTCCAGATGGCTCAAGAGGCCGCAAGGACGCCTCAAGAGGCCTCCAGGAGGCCCTTCAACAGGGGCCCAGGAGGCAAGCATCGATGATTTTCCTTAGGCTTTTGAAGGCGAGGCCTCCCACGCGATCCCAACTAACATCCAATAGGCTTCACACCCACAACCCAAGCACGGCGGCGGGACATGCCATAGGCAGCGGGATATCGAAACAGTGTCTGCTCGAAACGCTGACCAGCTGTCGAGCGAAGAACTACCGCCTCGCAGGGCCCGACGCGCGAAAGCTGTCCCAGCGGTGTCGCCCGTCAGGGCCTTCCAGTTTCTTGACTTTTTTGGTGCTCGAAATTTCTGTTGGTGGTCAAGGCTAAAGTATGTTGGAACATCATGGCCCGGGTGGCAACTTCAAGCGCTGCTGTGCGGCGCGGGTTTCGGCCAACACTGCATGCTGGGGGCGGCGACGGGCACGGCGGCCGGGCCGTGCGGAGCTGCTTGCGCCCGGCCGCCAGCAAATGACCTCGCCAACCTTCGCAGTGCAACGCGCTGGGCCGGTCTGCCGCGGGGGGCGGCGCGCCGCTGCCGACGCGGTCTTCGGCAACCTCGCCCCGAGCTGGGAGCTGGACTCCGCGGCGGTGATGATCGCGCCGCCGTGGCAAGCCGCGAAAACCTCTCTGGCACGGCCGCTTCCCCGCCGAGCCGTGGAGGCAGACCGCGGGGGCGCCTTGACGCGGGGCACGGACGCGGCCGCGGCGCCGATCGCGCCCGCCCTCCAGAGCTCAACAAAACGCCACGCGGTCCCGACCGTCGAGTGCTGGGCCACCCTGCCGGCCGCGCCCCGGGGCTGGCGCTCAGCTCTTGCAGGACACGCGGGCGGTCCTGCTGAAAAGCCTGGTCCCGGCGCGAGGCCAAGCGGCTGGCCGGCAGGCGAGGGAACTTCCGGCACGTCGGTGTTGGCGTCGACCGCTGGTCCACGACACGGCTCCCCACTCTGGCAGCCAGCTGGCGACAGGCGCCGCCGGGGCGCTGCTGCCGCTGTGCCTACAAGCAAGACGCAATCATGGACATTGCTGCGAAGTGGGGCGGCCTGCCGCCTGCCCTGACTGCGGCGCGGACTTGGAGCAGCTCGATCACCGCGCGTGGACATGCCCGCGCTGGGGGCCCGAGCGCAGAGCGGCGTTGCAGCCGGAGGGGTTCACTGCAGACTGCAGACGCCGCCCGGGCCTGCCTGCCCTTGGAGACAGCGAGCACCGGCGTGTTGCGCTGGTGCCCTCGCCTCGCAGCCTTCGCGGAACACTCCCGGCTGCCCCTGCCGCTTCCTGCGCTGTCCGACCCCCTGGCCAGCCTCCAGGCAGTCTCACCGCGTACGGCCGCGCGCGTGGGCGGGCGCTTGCTGCACGCGTCCGGGCGGCCCCCTTCTCGCAAGGGTTGGTTGCAGGCTTGCGGGCTTGCACCTCGAAGGAGACACCTGGGCCACGAGGACCCCGCTATGGCCCTGTCGATGGGGCGCAAGCCGCGCAGCGCGAGGAGGTTGGGGCGCGCGCGCAAGCGCCGCGCATGGCGGGCGGCTGCGTGGAAATACCTGCAAACTCCCGCTTTGTCAGCAGCGGAGTCGCGGCATTCCGTGTTGGCGCTTGCCTCGCCGACTGGGCGCTCGCAGACATCTGGGAGACCATTGCCCGCACTGCCGCAGCGGGATGCTGCCCGCCCGCTGGGTCAAAGCGCACCTGGACGCCTTTCATGCGCGCGAGAGCACCCTGTCTGACGACTGCGCGGGCAACGCTGCAGGCTGCGGCAGACAGCACGGCTGGGCTCGCATTAGGTCGGGCAGGTCCCCCCACAGGCGGATTTTGAAGGACACTGGGCTCGCATTAGGTCGGGCAGGTCCCCCCACAGGCGAATTTTGAATGACAAATTTGAAAAATAACAGAAAAACGCAAATTGTCAAACATAATCCAACATATCGTCCCCCTACCATGTCTGGACTATGTTTGGATCTCACGACGTTGTCGATGCTTTTCCCCAGCATCAAGGGGGCGAATGTACCCCCAGCCCACCAGGGAAGGAGCCGCCAGGAGACGACCTGGCGATCACCCCCCGAAGCTTCCGCGCTGGCCGTCGCCTCGGGAAGCGGGAGCTGAGGCAGAAACGGCCGCGCACGGGCCGCATGTGAATCCCTCGCCGCATCTGCGCGCGCGTCGCGGCGCGAAGCAGGGGGGGCGGGAGGGAGATTGCGCGTTCTGCGACGCGGCCTGCGCCCTCTGAGGCGTCCTGCCACGAGACGGCAGGAAAGTGCGAAGCAGGGCGCCATGTGAGACGCCCTGCGACGCAATGCGCCCTGTGCGGCGCCCTGCCAACGGACGGCAGGCACTCGGCCCCGCGGGGGCGTGACCCCCCGAGCCTTAGCCCAGCGGCACAGTAGGCGCCCACGAAGCCGGGTAAGGCCGCCTGCGGACCATTGCCAGCACAGTAGGCACTGGCAATGCTGATCGTGTCCCTGATGTCCGAAGCATCTGCGTCTCTAGATCGCCCATTATCCGAAAAGCTTCGCCTTCCTCCTAATAGGATCAATCTCACGACGTTGTCGATGCTTTTCCCCAGCATCAAGGGGGCGAATGTACCCCCAGCCCACCAGGGAAGGAGCCGCCAGGAGACGACCTGGTGATCACCCCTCGAAGCAGGCCCCCTTGAGGCGGTGTTCCGCGAAGCGGTGTGTGTTGGGAGTCGGGGAAGGAGGCCAAGGGCGGGAGAGAAGGGCGGAGGTGGGAAGAGGGCCCTGGGCTGGAAGACGGCGCTGCGTCGCCTGCGTCCCTAAAGGAAACCGCACTCTCGCTGTGCCTCGCGAGCGCTTTCAGGGGGCATCAGTGCCGACGGGGAGTGCCCCCTGGAGCGGACCCGCCAGCGACTTCGCCCAGAACGTTTTCTGGATACCTAGCCAGGAGTCGGCCGCCGGAAGCCTCGAGGAGCGGACCCACACGGGCCTGATTACCTGACGGATTCCACCACAACTGCTGGCTACCTGGGATCCCGGCCCGGATCACGAGCGGGCCCGCCGGCCATGTCCAAGGCGTTTTCTGGAGATCCGTAAAATTAGTGATAGTTTTTGAATGGAGCCCCGGTGGGCCCGCCTCCTCCTTCCTGGCACCAGCCCCGCCGGGGCCGCGTGGTATGGGCACCTGTGCAAGCCTGTCCACAAGGCCGATTGTCCGCCCGTGTCTCGTGGACCACCCCGCTCCCGGTATCTCTCTCGCTCCCCCCCTCTCTCGTTATCTCCCCCTCTCTTAGACATATATGCGTGCATGCGTATGCGCGAAATGTGCAGACAGCGAGAGAGAGAGAGAGAGAGAGAGAGAGGGAGAGGGAGGGAGAGAGTCGCCGTGAAATTTGGCCAAAAGGGTGGTCCACGGGAGTCCCACGGCAAAGGCTTCTTGTTACCTTGCATCGGGAATCTGCGGCGGCGCACTCGGCGCGCGCGGGCGCGCGACCATCTCTGCTGCGTGTCAGGCAGGGTTCCGACGAACAAACAAACAATGCCACAGCGCTGGCAACCTGGCGGGGTTTGCCGTAGGCCTGCGGGTGTTATAGGCAAGCGCGTGACTGGCAAGAACGGGGTCTGGGCCCTCCCCCGCAAAGACGACGACGTCTGACCAGAGGGGGGGCCTGGGAACTTTCCCCCGCCCAAGCGACGCTGTTTTTTCCTCGCGGTCCGCCTGCCAAGGCCGAAGTGGTTCGTCTGCAACCGGCCCAAGCGCGCAGGCTGTATCTGAACGAACGTGCACGAAGAGCACGGGGCATGTTCGCCCGCATGGGGCAGGGAAGCCGGCTCGCGGATTATAACATACAAGATGCCACGCGAAAGGCCTCTCTGCAGCTGTCACCGGCACGGCTGTGGGCTCACCAGGCTACCCGGCCAGGCAAGCGAGCGGGAGATGGGACAGGGGAGATAGTCAGAGAAGGGGCGAGGCATGCCGCTCGGTTTGCCGGAGGGTTGCGCGCTCGCGCGCGGCAGGCGCATTAGCTTCTGCATTCCTCCTGCCAGTGGAATGCCACGATCCCCTTCTGTGCGCAGCGGCTGCACGGAGTGGCCGGCACGCCGCCCTCTTGCCTGCACTGGGCCCGGCTGTGCTGGACGAGCTTCCGGCTCCCGAGCAAACAGTGGCGGCAATAGGTGCCCATGATGGACCTGATCGCCTCCTTGTCGTCCGGCGAGCCCTGGTGCTTGGCGCGCCCTGCGCCCTGTGAGGCGTCCTGCCACGAGACGGCAGGAAAGTGCGAAGCAGGGCGCCATGTGAGACGCCCTGCGACGCAATGCGCCCTGTGGGGCGCCCTGCCAACGGACGGCAGGCACTCGGCCCCGCGGGGATGTGACCCCCCGAGCCTTAGCCCAGCGGCACAGTAGGCGCCCACGAAGCCGGGTAAGGCCGCCTGCGGACCATTGCCAGCACAGTAGGCACTGGCAATGCTGATCGTGTCCCTGATGTCCGAAGCATGTGCGTCTCTAGATCGCCCATTATCCGAAAAGCTTCGCCTTCCTCCTAATAGGATCAATACTCCTCCTGTAGAGGGACATGCCAGACTCAAGGCTCGCAGCCGAGGCCCAGTTGCCCGCGCCCGCATGGTGCCAGGAGCGAAACCCGCTCGCGGCGCTGCAAGTCAACCGTGCGCCGCGTGGCGCAGCTTGGCCGCGAGCTCGATATCGCTGGACGACGCCGCGCGGCGTGCGACCCTGGCAGGCGCCGCTGGAACGCATCGCGAAGCCTTCTGCGAGGCGGGGATTGATCTATGTCCACCGCCTCCGAAACGGCGTCCTGGTGCCCCCGCGGGCGGTGGACATGGATCTAGCTTGGCCCCCGGGGGCCCGAACCGATCCCTGTCCACCGCCTGTGAGGCCCCCGAAAGTTGATCCTCCAGGCGGTGGTCGTGCAGAAATCCCCGCCTCGGACCTTCGGCCGCGCGCGGCGGCGCCGCCCCCAGGCGCCCTCCGCGCCGCTCCTGCGCCTGCGGCAGCGGCCCGGGCGCCGTGCACGCGGGCCGCTCCCTCGCGGCCCGAGGGCCGGGCCGGGCGGCCCGCCTCGGCTGCGGCGGCGGGGCGAGGCGGCGGCAGCCCAGAGCCCGGACGTCACGATCTGTTCATGACGCGACCCCCAGGCCCTGAGATCCGGGCGTTGCAATTTTTTCACAACGGCGTGTTCGCTCCGCTTCGGGCCACGGGACCCTCACAGACCGGTCCGGCTCGAAAAACGGCGCAGAAAGAGAGGGTCCGGGGCTCCAGTCGTGACTTGTTGCGAGGTTGCATTTTTTTTGTAACGGCGGATCTCAAGGGAGGTCCAGACCCATTCCACTGGACCAATTAGTCATCCTGAGTGGTCTTCTGACGGTCCCGAGGCCTGGCATAGGGGCCCCCAAGGGCCGAGCACAGCGAACAACCTGCCGTCATGATTTTTGCTTCACGACTCGAAAGGTCGGCGGTGGACAAACCTCCCTTTAGTAAACCTCCCTTTAGTGAAAACGGCCGAGGACAGAAACCGACGGACCTGGGCCCGCCGAAATGGCGGCCGCGACGCCCCCTCACGAACCGAAAACGGCCAATTCGCTAATCGACGCGGCAGGGTGGGAGGTCTACCAACCTCCGGAAGGGGGGGTCTGGGAGGGACTGGAGAACGACCTGCCGTCATGATTTTTGCTTCACGACTCGAAGTGGGGGGTCTGGGAGGGACTGGCGCTAGGTCGGGCATGTCCCCCTGCAGGCGGGCGAAACATCAGACCTACCCAGAACATGTTTATGAACACAGCAGCAAAAAGGCTCAAAGGATAGTCCCCAGACTCTTTGTTGGACTATCTTGGCATATTTCTCCTGCGGAGGGACGAAGGATTGCAAAAAAAACCGAAGGACTGCAAAAAAAACCCCTTCGTTTTTTTGCAATCCTTCGTTCAAGGGTTTTTTTTTTTGCAATCCTTCGGTTTTGTTTGCAATCCTTCGCCCTTGCGACGGGCGGACTGGCTCCGCGCCAGCGTGGCGGCGGCGCTTCCTCTCCGGGCGGCGGGCCCATGCCGGTCCTCCGTGCGGCCTCCGGCGCTCGCCCGTGCCAGAGAGGCGCGGAGGGGCGGACGCGGGCGCGCTCCGAGGCGCCGCGGGCGCGGTGTCTGCTGCTGTGCTCGGGCGCGCCCGGGGGCGGTCCTGCGGGGCGCCCTGCGCGCAGTTAGAAGAAAAAGAACTATGCACATGCACCGATTCTGGCCAGGCCCATCCTGAGCCCAGGATCGGTGCATACGCCCTCCTACCTTGGCCAGGAGGGCATATGCACCGATCCTGGGTCAAAGATGGGCCTTGCCAGGATCGGTGCATGTGCATAATTCTCTTCGCCCGAGCAGTGGCAAGCGTCGGCGGCGGGCGAGGGGGGGGGGGGGAAAGCGAGAAGGAGAAGGCCTTCGCAGAAGGCCCTCTGAGAAGTGTTCTGAGCCTTCCCCGAAGACAGCAGATCTCAGAAGGCGCGAGGGCTTCGGAGAAGTCCCGCGCCGCCTTCTGAGAAGGCCTCCTCCTTCTCACACTTCCCCCCCTCGCTTGCCGCCGAAAGTGAAGGCCTGGAATTGTGCTGCTCTCCCCTCGCACTTGAAGGACCACATCCCGGAAACAATTTCGAGCACCCGGAAGAGTATGGAAAAAGTGTCGAACGCGTACTTCGCCTCGCCTCCCCAGGCCAGACGCGTGGCAATCCTGTTTCGGTACGTTCCTGTTTCATGTTTGGTGATCAAGGCGAAAGTAGGTCGGAACATCATAAGCCTGGCAGCGGCTTCTGCGCTCATGGAGCTTCCTGTTCCCCGCGGTGCGGTTTCGGAACGGTGGTGCCCACCAGAAATCTGACAGTGGTAAGCCAGGCTGTCCTATGTTGGGGTCTCCTGGAGCAAAGCGTACCAGGTGCAGGGGGCGAGCAACAAAAACGACGACGACCCGTACCATAAGAACCGCACCTCTGGCCACTCGGATGATATCATACCCGCGCCATACCAGAAGACTCGCGCCTCGGGCTACTTGAAAGCTCCCAAGCGCACGGTCGAAAGCTCGCAGCCTGTGACGAAAGCACGCAAGCGCATTGTCGCAGGCTCCCAGGCGCTCTCTGAAAGGCTCTCTCCAGAAGGCTCCCACGCGCTCTCAGGAAGGCTCCGAGCTGGTGTTTCGAAGGTTTCCAAGCCCTCTCGGAGAAGAAACGCCTGACATCTGAATTATGAAAATGGCTCTACTCAAATTGCAATTCGCCCCGATTCGTTGTAATCCGACCGACGTGGTTGCAATCCGCCTTTCTTATCGTCCATGCCTTCTCCTCCATCCCTCCGCCCCCTCCTTACTGGGGAAAACAACATGTACCGATACCGCTAGTCCCAGGACCTCTCCAGGAGCGCGCGTTCTGACCAGGATTTCGAGGCGAATCCAGCGGTTGCGACGAGGGCCTCCCAAGAGACCAAACAAAAATGGAAAAACGATGAAAGGGTAGAGGTATCGGCATCTGTTCCTCCTCTGACTCATTCTCCCTCATACGCCAGCCAGCCTCCTAGCCCCCTGGATGGGCGGTCCTGTGGTCGACCTGCTTGCCACGGCCCTCGCGTACGCCCGCGCGCCACTGGCCTCTGGCCGGGAGAGCACCCTGGCCCTCCTCTCCTCGCCCCCTCCCCTAGCAAACGAGGAGGATCGTAAACGAATGAACTTTCCAGCCGCCCTGGGGCAGGCGTCTCCGACTTCGGTTGAAACTCATGGACGCCTCCCATACCATCTTGTCGGCTCTTGCGAATCGACGCTGATCGATGCCAGTCGACACTGATCGACGCTAAATCGACACTGATCGACGCTTGATCGGCGCTATCTCATCGACTCCTTGACGCTAATCGACGCTAATCACCACTAAAAACGGAATTAAAAGGGCACACCCAACTTCCACATTTTGCTACCGAACCCGACGGTGTACACGTTTCTGTGATGCTGTTCTCCGCCCGCTGATTCTCCTCCTGCTCCTCAAGGTGCCCCTCTTCCTCTCGGCCGTTCACTAATGGGAGGGCGACAGATGGGGGGGTGAGAGAGGAGCACCTTTCGTGCACCTTTCGTACCCCTCCGGGGCCCTCGGGGGCTCGTTTGGGGCCCCTTTAGGGCCCCTTTCGTGCAAACCTCGACGCCCCCCCATTTATCGCCCCCCCCATTTCCGAACGCCCAATTCCTCCTCACACGGCGGCACTCCGGCTTGTCGAGGCAACGCCCAACACCAAGCTCCTGCGGAACACCTGCGCTCTGGGCAAGCCAACCGCAGGTCTTCACGGGGACCCTCGACACCAACCCTGCCCCGAGAGCCAGGGAAAAAACACTGAGAAATGGAAAAGACAAGCCTCCATGCAGCCCGCGCGTCCTCCTCCTCCTCCTCCCGTTTCCTCCTCCTCCTCCTCCTCCTCCTCCTCCTCTCCTCCTCCTCCACCTCCACCTCCTCCCTCACCTCCTCCTCCTCCTCCTCCTCCTCCTCCTCCTCCTCCTCCTCCTCCTCCTCCTCCTCCTCCTCCTCCTCCTCCTCCTCCTCCTCCTCCTCCTCCTCCCCCCCCACCTCTTGACGCGGTGCGTGGCGGCTCGGGCTGCCGGACAGGGCAGGCTCGCAGCCGCGCGCTGTGGCTCGCAGGTGCCGAGGACCATCATACGCATTCGTTGCCGTGCCGTCTCGCGCCGCCGCGTCCGTTCAAAAGGTGCGACATCGTGATGGAGGCCTGGAAACGGGCACCAACACCCGAATCTAGGTGCGACATCTTGTTGGAGGAGTGACGAGGAGGAGTGACGAGGAGAAGGAGGATGAGGAGGAGGAAGAGGAGGGGGAGGAGGAGGAGGTGGAGGCCTGGAAATGGACACCAACACTAACACAGAGGGGTGCCTCCACAGGGGGAAGGTGATCCTAGATCAGGGTGTTGGTGACAATAGTTCGACCACCCTGGAAGCCAGAGTATTACCACCATTCACCGAGATCGGGATCTTCGTCCCTCGGTGGAGGCACACCGCCGATGTTTGTGTTGGTGTCAACCTCTAGGCCTGAGATATCGTGGCACCGAAGACACGCCGCCCTGAATGAGAACAGCACCCTACGTAAGAATACACGTTCGGAGGTCCAGGCGGACTGGCTGGATCTGCGCTTGACCGCTCCCCCCCCCTGGCGGCGCCTCCAGCGCCGCCCGTTTCGCGCTCTGCGCGCCAGGGGGTGTCCAGCGCAGATGCAGAAACTCCGCGCGGAGCTCGGAGGGTTGAGGCTTATGGAATTTCCTCGTCATCGAATGTCGCCCTGACCCACCCCCCCCCGGAGACAAAGAGGCATGCCCACAAGATCGGCGACGAGCGAGTTGAGACACTTGAATTTCAACATCGGCTCAAAGTCAGTCCCTGGACAACTCCCAGGATCCAAACGCACACATTGTCCGAGCTGCGTCCACCCGTGGGGACGAGGGGCCCCCCCGAGGGCCAACCACCAGTGTCTCTCAAAGGGGCCTTCGCTGATGAGAGACTTTTTGCTTGCGAAGAGATGGCCCTTGGTGGCTTGACCAGGCCGCTGCCGTCAACTGTGTCCCACACGCCGCTCTGGACGGTGCTGCCGACGTGGTCTGGACGCGGTTCTCTCGACGTTGGGTGGGGCGTGGGTCTGGACGCAAGCTTGGACGCTTCGCTGGACGTGGGTCTGAGCAACCTATCGTAAGACGAATGCAGGATGATGATACATTCGGACGAGGATAAATCGGGAACATATGAGAACTGACGGCTCTAAACACTTTATCGGGTGTCGCGGCCATCTCAGAAAGCGCTCCAGAACGCTTTGAGAGCCTTCTAGAATGCTCTCGAACGATATGTCCTCATCCTAGACCTTTTATCCCTAAGATTGGGCCATGGATTGGACACGTATTTGCATGTGGGTTTGGACAATGGCTGGGACGTGGCTCTGGGCGTGGGTATGGGCGTGGGCTCGGACATGCGTTTCGGGCTCCGCACACAATGGGTTGCATACAGGAAGATCCGTACGGTGCCTACTGTACGCCTAGACAGGGTTCCACATGGGATCGGACCTGCGTTTAGGATTCCGCACACAACGGGTTGTTAAAACAGAGTTCCGTACGGTACCGACAGTGCGCAAAGATAGGATTCCATTGATGGCAGGTCCCCACCAAATATGTCCGGTTCTTCACACGGGGAGCACTAGGCATCGGCCTCCTGCCACACCCACTCACAAGTCCCAGCCTCGTTGCATTTCACCCGCGCGGTGAGGTGGAAGCCTGGGTCGTCCTCCTGCAGCGAACGCCGGGGCCCCTGTCACGGCCTGCTGGCCTGTTGGTCGGGTCGGAACAACGACACTTCGAACGAAATGCAAGGCCAAGGTGACACCCGCGAACAACGGTCCACCTGCGCGGTGACACCCAACATGACCAGCCCCGGCAATTCCATTTCAATTTCGTGGTTTCCTCGTCCTTTGGCGGAATCATTTTGCCTGCGAGTCCTCTTCATCATCTTGCTCCTCCTCTTGCTCCATCTCCTCCTCCTCCTCCTCCTCCTCCTCCTCCTCCTCCTCCTCCTCTTCCTTCTCCTTCTCCTGGGCGGCGCGCGCCAGTCCCTGCGGCAGTGATCCCCAACGCGCCCGCCTGAGCAGACGCCCAGCCTGCAGGCCCAGCGAGGCCCACTCCATGTTTGCGGAGATCATGTCTGCGGGGGGCCGAGGGCTCTCGCCCGAAGCCTTGCCCTTGGCGGCAAAATGTTCGGCGGGGGAGGGTTCTTCGCCCCACCTCCGTGGACTCGGGCAGCGCTTCTTGCACATGTTCACCAGCAAACGGGAGCCCAGCGGCAGAGTGCAGGGGGACGACGCCACGCGACGACGAAAACGACGGACGACCGGCGAAAGACAAGCGCGGGGGAGGAAGCGGCGAGGGGGGAGAGCGCAACAAGGGGGGCGGCCGCGCAACGCGCCCCGTCGCGGCCGCAGCGCAGGCGCAGCCCGCGGAGCGGCGGAGCCGCTCCGGCGGCGATGGCGAGCCCGCGAGCCTGCGCCCGCCCGCGGGCTGGCGCGGCGCGCGCGGCCGCCCGGGCTACGACGCGGCGCAGCGCCGCGGCGCCGCGCCGCGGCGCCGAGCTCCACCAGCTCGCCCGCGAGCCGCTGCTGGACCTCGCCCAGCTTGCCCCGCGTGGACACGCCCAGCGGGCGGGCGAGGGCCCGCGCAGCCGTCCAGCGGCCCTGCGCGAGCCACTCCAAGGCCAGCGCCCGCAGCTCCACCCCGGCAACGCTTCTTGCACAGCTGTTGGCCCTCCCACCCCGCCCTTCGCTCCGCCGCCATTGTCGATCAGCGCTGGGCCGAAAAGGCGTGCAGCTGAGCGCCGGCTCGCGTGCAATTCACTTTTTTCCTTGCGGGCCTCGCCGCCCCCCGTCACCCCTCCGTGCAAGTAAACTTGCCGGGGCTTAACAAGCAGAACAGCATCTTGCCAGCCCCGAAACCCGAAAACGACTCCCTGAAACCAGAAACGACCCCACAACAACGACGCATTCGGCGCGGCAACGGGTCCAAGGTGGTGCTGGTGTGTTTCTCTTCGTGCGGGTTGGTTGGCTAGGTGAGCCTGATATAACCCCAATGTTGGCAAGACATGGCCCACCTTGGCATCCGCTTACATGCAAGGCTGGGCCACATGCACCCCCCCTAGGAATCCTTTGAGCTAGGTTGTTCGGATAGCCTCTGCGGTGTGATCCAAAAAGGATGCTCATCCTGCTCCTGCCATGTTTCCTGTGGGCGGGCGGGGGCATGGAGGACGCAGGGGTGTCATTGAAAACAACAAAGGCAGACCTCTTCCTCTCCCGCCTCCTCCTCCTCCTCCTCCTCCTCCTCCTGCTCCTCCTCCTCCTCCTCCTCCGCCTCCTCATCTTCCTCCTCCTCCTCCTCCTCCTCCTCCTCCTCCTCCTCCCCCCTCCTCCCCCCTCCTCCCCCTCCTCCCCCTCCTCCTCCCCCTCCTCCCTCTCCCCGTCCTCTCCTCCCCTCTCCTTCCTCATCCTCCTCCTCCTACTCCTCCTCCTTCTCATCCTCCTGCTCTGGGAATCTCAGGAGGCCCCCATGAAGGCCCCCGCAGCCCCTTTGCCTCTGCCCGCAGAAGGTATCCCACACATCCCCCAGAAACCGGTCGATCGTCTGCCCCCGATCCTCGACGACGACGACGACGACAGCCACCACCACCACCACCACGGCAACCACGGCGGAGGCGGCGGCCGCCGGTGGCAACGGCGAGGGCGACGGCGTCGGCGGCGCCAGCGGCGACAGCAGCGACGGCGACGACGAGGACGGCGGCGGTGACCCCGACGACGACGACGCCAGCGCCGACGGCGAAGCTGACGAGGGGCAGCGCTGGCGGCGACGGGGGCGAGCGGCCCGCGTAGACGAACTCGTTGCCCCGCTCGTGCAGCTCCCCCTCCCCCTCGAAGGCCTCGGCTCGGGAGGGTCACTCTCCCGCCCCCCATCCGCCCCCGCAGAGATCGACTAGGGGATCGACTACAAAATTGGTTTATTGATTTGTGCTTCGAGTTTACGAGAAATGCATAGGAATGTTCAGTGCACCTAGGAAACATTCTACGTATTGTTCGTAGACTCGACGGCAGAATCAATTCTGGAGTAAACCAATTCTGTAGTCGATCCCTCACTCGAAGAGAGGGCGAACCCCGCCAGAGGGTAGCCCAACGGTGGAAGAGGAGGGAGGGCGTGTACGCCTGAGGTGGGCACGGACAACACACAAATATCACACCAGGGAAACAACCATAATTAGTGGGGAGTAAGATCGATCATGAGATCGATGGTGGGCTCGATCGTGGGATCCCGAACTCAGCCCAACACCAGCGGCCGGGAACTCGCCGAAGCCGAAATCGGCTCGGGACCTCCGCCAAATCTTCCAATATCTGCTAAAATCCTTTCAGTGCACGCACTGATTGGGGAACGATGCGCTTCCTAGCAGCACATGTTGTCCAAAACCAGCAACGCCCGCCGTCTGGCAGGCGACGCTGCCTGCGTCAAACGGACCACGTCCGCATCGACACCGACAGCGAGCCCTGTCCGAAATCAGGAGCGCCCGCTGTCTGGCAGGCAATTTGCTGGCACAAAACAAACCACACCCGCGGCGACACCGACGGAAATCCCTGTTCAAAACTAGCAGCGCCCGCTGTCTGGCAGGCGACTTGTTTGCATTAAGGAGACCAGACCCGAGGCAACACCGACAACGAACCATGTTCAAAACCAGCAACGCCCGCTGTCTGGCTGGCGACTCGTTTGCATTCAGCAGACCAGACCCGTGGCGACACCGACAACGAGCCCTGTTCAAAACCAGCAACGCCCGCTGTTTTGCAGGCGACTTGCTCGCGTGTTCAACGGACACGGAGACACCGACGACGAGCCCGTATCAAAACGGACAGCGCCCGCTGAACCTTCCTGTGCCAGGCGGGCCACATCCGCGGCGACACCGACAGCGAGCGCTGTTCAAAACATCCAGGACTTGCTGTCGGTTACTTGGGCGCCCGAGTTATCCGGGGTAACTCGGGTCCGGGGTAACTCGGGTTTGGATTCCCGAAAAAGGAACTCGAGTTATCCCTGACCTGAGTTACCCCTGATGATTCGGGGCTCTGGACGCCCGAGTTATCCGGGGTAGCTCGGGTCCGGGGTAAGTCGGGTTCGGATTCCCGAAAAAAGAACCCGAGTTATCCCTGACCCGAGTTACCCCTGATGATTCGGGGCTCTGAGTTACCGCAATAGGTCCTTAGACCCCCCCAAAACAGTTGGAGACTAATCGCATGTTCGGCGACCTCATCGACGGAATGGGACCCCACCAATACTGGAGAATAATTATTTCTCCGCGGCGCCCAGCGCACAACAACGACGCCGCACACGGCACTGTTCCTCCTCCTCCTCCTCCTCCTCCGCGCCACCTGCCGCTTGCGCACGCCACCGCCGTCAGGGGTTGGGCGGGTGGCGGGCCGAAGGGGAAGAGTGCAGGGGCAGCCTTGGAAAGGTGCGCATTCCCGCTGTGCCACGATCTTGTAGCGGTAGTGACAGATCGATCTTCCATAAAAATGCGATGGGCAACTGCGATGTGATATTGTACGATGCGCTGTATGATCCACAAGACTGTGACCGACCATGCTAGGACAGGGTATTATATGCTAAGGTATGCTAAGTCGTGATGGGATCTGCAGGGCTACGCTGTGATATGACACGCCACGCAATGATACGCCACGGAACGCGTTGTCGCGCAATGTGTATCAATGGCCTCTCTGGCTTGTCATGATGGTATGAACGGCGGTGCTAAGCTACACATCGCTACGCAATGATGTAGCTGAATGTCCATTGAATGATACCTACGTGTAGTGTTCTTCCTTGTCGTTCCATGTATGAAAAGGCCTTCAGCCGCATGGCGAGGAGGAGGGACGGGACAGGAGCGGGAGGGGAACTCGGGAGAAGAAGGGGGAATGAGGAGGAAGTGGGAGGGATAGCAGGGGGGTGATGATCAGGACGGGGAGTGCGATCGGGAGGGGGGACGGGATCGGACGACGAGGTGGGGGGGGGGGCAGGAGGAAGCAGGGCCCCAGAGGCCCCTGGACTCTCGGAGATCCACAACAATACCTAATGATGCGATGCGTACATGCATCGTTCGATGCGTGCATACACATACATTGTCAATGAAAACTAGGACCACGCGCAAGCTTCGCGTGCGCTCAGGTTCTAGCCCAAGGCAGTATGAGGTGTCAGACACGTCGAGGACGGCCCCCAGGATTCCCCCCGGGACAACCAGAACTCCAGCTGCACACAACTGGTGCGAGGTGCAGCTGGACCTCGTCGCCCAGGTCTGCCTCCTCCTCACCGTGCCTCTCCACCTGCCACCGTGCGTCGAAAGTACGCCCCTGGGGGGCCCTCGCGTCGGCCACCAGACCATTGCGGGCACCGATCTTTGGAACTGCACCCTGCCGTCGCTGCATGCGCCTGCAGATGTTATACCTTCTCTTCCTACCGAGATGTTCCGCTCCAGAGTCGGCCCTGGAGCTCCTCCTACACCCCGAGATTGGCACCTGCGCTGAACAAGCGACAGACGCACCGGAACATACTTGCGTGTTTCGCGCTCGTGATCGTCTCACCCTGCCTCCCCCTACATCAGAAACAACACCACGTGGCTTCAAGGTCGGGCCTCGGTAATCCCACACCCCACAAGTCAAAGCCGCAATTCGCGGGTGTTGAGTGCAACTGCGCATCCTTCTCGTCCCCCTTCCCGGCCTCAACCCATTTCTGCAAGGGAAGCGGTATCGCGAGACTCTTGGGTCGTCCGGGACAATCTGAACATCAAAAGAAGCGGCGATTCTCGACTCGCACGGACAATGTTGTTCTTCGGCGAGTTTGGCCTCTTCGGTTCCTCTTGGTAGCCTCTAGAGCACATCTTTGCGCGGCCCCTTAGGGACTCGGTTTCGGGCTCGTGGGCCCCTTCAAGGCCTCGCACGGCTCTCTATGGAGAGCCTCTCCCCTTGGAGGCTTCGCTATGGAGAGCCTCTTGGGCCTTCTGGAGCGGTCTGGGGCCCCATGGGGGCCTCTTTGAAGTTTTCTTGGGGGCCTCCTAGGTGCCTTTGTGGCCGCCAGGGGGGCCTCTTGGGGGCCTCCTGAGGTCATCCTGGGAGCATTTTGGGGCCTCTCAGGCTCCTCCGAGGCGAGTTGTTCCGTCAACCAGAAAAAAAGCAAGCAAGTTGATGGTGAGTGCATAAGTTGATCAGGCAGCATGAGCAAGAACGTCTATGAACAAAACAAGCGAGTTGACAACTGGCACGCGTCCAGAAAAAAACAGAAGTCGCGTCTGTTATAGCTTCTCCTACAAAATTCCTATGAGCCAAAACCTTACTACAACCGTGTGATCACTGATGCTGTTGCTGCTTAAGCCTAACAATGAAGCCCCGTCCTGGTGCATCTGAGCCAGTATGTGACTGAGCAACCCAATGTCTTGCTCCACGACAATGTGGAATCGCGCCATCAACGATTCTAGGATACCTTCGTCATGCGAAGCGGTGTGGTTGCGCGCGTTGATAGTCTCGACCTAGTCTTCGCACGACAGAGAAATCCGCCGACGCCTTTGGGTTCATCGGCGTGTGAGATGTTTCCCCCTACCCAGACCCCTCCCCCGGGGGGCCTGTCTGGTCGATTCGACGGGGACTGGGCGAACGCCTCACGCGGGGTCCGAGGCCTCCGAAACGGGCCATGAGGGCCCCAAGAGCCTCCCCTGACGGTTCAAGAGGGCCACGAGTCGCCGACAGATCCCTCCAAGACGCCCAAAATGACTTCCAGACGGCCCCAGAGGCCCCCAAGACGCCGGAAGACGCCGCCAAGAGGCGCCCCAAGAAACTAGAAAAAACGCCATAAACAGATTTGTTTGGCGCTCCGCGCGGATTTCTTGGATTTGCGCTGGGTCCCCCTCCCTGGCGCGCGGAGCGCGCCAGGGGCGCCACCGAGGGGCCCCGGCGCGGATCCAAGAAATCTGCGCGGAGCGCCAACTATTTATGCTTATGCCGTTTTGTCTTCGTCGAAAGGCGCGGTGGATCTGGATGCATTGGCGGCGCGCACAAGGGGGAAGGGGGAAGGGGGAGGGCTTCTTAGGAGGCTGCTTCTTAGAAGGCGCCAGCCTTGCATCTACAGAGAAGGCCCGCGCCTTCTAAGAAGCAGGGGTGCTTCTAAGAAGTCCTCCCCCCTCCCCCCAATCCCCCCTTGCGTGTGGCCGAATGCACAAACGTTGCCCGCATGCTCCTCCTCTCGGTCCGACTCTCCCCCCCGCTGCGCTCGCGCCCGGCCGGCGGGCCCGAGCCGGGGGCCCCCTCCGCAAAGCCGCCGATGTAGCGGCGGTCCGCGGAGGGCTGCGCGAGGGCGCCTCGGGGTCGTGGAGGGGGGCCGAGCCGCCGGAGCGCACCCACAGCCCCAGGCAGGCTTGCGGAAGGGTTCTCCTCGTCGTCACTCCTCCACCCTCCTCCCTCCTCCTCCCTCCTCCTCCCTCCTCCCTCCACCCTCCTCCTCGTCCTGACCAGGATCTCGAGGCGAATCCAGCGGCGGCGACGAGGGCCTCACAGGAGGCCGAACAAAGGGAAAACGAGGGAGGGGTACAGTAGGAGCTCGACCGCAAGCAACCTTCCACAAGAAACCCAACCCTGAGACCCCAGGACGTCCCTTGCTTTCTGGTGTGTGGACGTCACACTTTCCATCGCAGAACCATCGAAACCCAGGAAGACCAGAACACCCTGGAAGCAAGCAGGGTGCTATTTGGCATGGGTTTCCACTGGATGGGTACTCATCGGTCGGAAGAAGTAAGTAGAAACATGGAATAGGAAGGCGGATAAAAAATTGTCCACGCAGCAAAAGCAGATCGATTCTTGAAGTAGAAAGGCGCGTGAAAAAGATTAGGATCTGGGAATCCAGAAATACCTACTGTCAGCGACTGGCGTGCACCTCTTCCTCCTGCACGGTTTCACCTGGGGCCGTAGAAGACCCGAGGAGGCGGTGGAAGAGGAGGAGGAGGAGGAGGAGGGGGAGGGGTAGGAGGAGATGGAGGAGGAGGAGGAGGAGGAAGGAGGAGGATATGGAGGAGGAGGAGGAGGAGGAGGAGGAGGAGGAGAGAAGGAGGGGGAGGAAGAAGAGGGAGGAGGAGGAGGGAGGAGGAGGGAGGAGGGAGGAGGAGGAGGATCCTCGAGGAGGATGCAAACGGGTCGCCTAAGCCCTTCGGAGGAACCCTCCGCGTCCTCCTCCGAGGAGCGAGGCGTCGACTGGAGGGTTCCAAAAGGTTTTTGGGGGTGAGGGGGTTTTCCACAGAGCCCCCCGGGGCCTCGGAGCCTCGTCAAAACAGGGGGTGCGAAGCCCCTGGGGGACCCCTCCTGGAAAACCCCCTCCCCCAAAACTCCCTTTGGAACCCACTGGGTCGAGGACGCGAGGCTCAAGTCGGGCCTGCTCTCCCACAGGTGGATTTTTTGGACGAAAGGTAAACAAAACATGCCAAACCAATGCGCCCAAATTGCGCCCAAAATGCTCAGGACATCGTCTCCATACGATGTTTGGTATACTTTTGGATACTCCTCCTGCAGAGGGACAGGCCCGACTCAGCGCGAGGCTCGAGAGGGGCTGCGCCGGCGCAGGCGCCGCGCGCAGGCGCCGCGCGCACACCCCACCGGGCAGAGCAGGCGGCCCGAGCGCGAGAGCCCCCCGCAGCGGCCGGCCCTCGGGTCGCCTCGCGGGGCCGGCCCGCCCCGAGGGGGGAGGGTTACAGGCGGCAGCTACCCGGACCCTCCAGGAGGGCTAAAAGAACAGCACCAGGACCTCGACATCTGAGTTCCTGTCGCGGTCTTCGGCAGCCCGGATAGGTCTATGGGTCTGGAGGGCTATTTTGGAGCACTCTGCAAGGGCAGGGTACTGAAAGGTCTTCGTCGGAAGAATTGAAGAAGATTAAGCCTCATTGGGGGGCGGTTACGCCGGAGATGGCCTCGGATTAAGCGGGATCAAGCCGAATTACGCGGGATTAAGCGGGAGTAAACTGGATGAAACGGGATTAAGCCAGATTAAATCGGATTTCGGACCAAGTCAACATCAGAATTTGACCTCCCAAGAAATACATCCGAAAGAGGAGGCATCCGCGCAGCACCCACTTGGAAAAAACGGGAAAATCGCGACGGGCGGTTTTCCGTTACTTTTTCAGCTTCTAGGGGCCCTTGCCGGCCCTCGGGGCCGTCCAAAAACGACCCGTGGTGAACAACTGTTTGGGTGACCCAAAAGGGGGCCCAGCTGAAAGGGGGTGATACCAGAAATTTGAGCCAAATGTATTGCACAAGTATTGCGCCGGAGAATTGTTTTGCATTGTATTGCAGGTAATGCTTCGCAGCAAATATTGCGCGCTAAAATGCAGCAATCCATTTGCGCCCCGGAATGTACAGTCGGCCTTGATTGGACAGGACACGCGAGAGGACACAAGACCCTTCCGAGGCCCACATCGCCATAGGAGTGTAAGAAGGCACGTGTCGCGAGGCACAGGACACAGGGGTACCCTTGAGCTGGCAGGGTCGACCTACTAATCCAGGCGGACTGTATTGCACGCCCCAAATGTATTGCAACCCCACAAATCTATTGCACCACCCCCTTGCCGCTGGACCCCCTGTTGGGTCAACCCGATCACCGGCCCTCGGGGCCGTCCAACAACGACCCGGGATGAGAAGCCTGTCCAGGCGAAGGGGTCCGACCCTCGCGACGTCGGGGGTCTGGCTCCCGCGCAGGCCCCCGGCGTGGCCGGGGTGGCCCTGAGGAGGCCACGCCGACACTTCGAGCTCGGCGGCACAACTCGTGGGAGCCTCCCACTGGCGGCACTGGTGGCGGCGACGCCGTGCGGGACCTGCCTCCACGGAGCCCCTGAGATCCTGGCGTTGCAATTTTGTCACAACGGGCGTTTCGGTCCATTTCGACCCCTGGGGCCCTCACAGATCGATCCGGCTCGAAAAATGACGCAGAAAAACAAGGTCCTGGGCTCCAGTCGTGATTTTCTGCGATGTTGAATTGGGCGGATCTCAAGGACCCCCTCACCCCCCTGGGACTGGTCTTTTGTGCGGCCCGTCGGTCTTTTGTGGCCCGTTGGGTTCTTGCGCAGTCAGGGCGCGCGGCCGGGCGTGTCTTACTGCGGCCGGCGCTGACCCTTCAATGAAAAGTAATGTATTCAATTGCTCAACTCTGGGAATCCTGGCAACCTTTACAGGCTTGCGTTCCCGCCGAGCAAAAAGGTGACCGCACAAAGGACCATCTGGAGACGCGTTGGAAGCAATCCAGTAGTAGCTGTTGTTGAAAAGAGTTGTTGAACAGAGTTGTTGAAAAGAGTAGCAGTAGTATCTTCAATGTAACATTCAAATAAAGAATTGTTGAAGCTACGTGGTAAGCCCAGCTGCATATCCAATGGCGCGTGCAGCGCTGTAAACATGGTTCGAGACACGGGCTCGAATCAGTCGTCCTCCTGAACATCACGATCATCATCACGTTCATCCTCCTCCTCCTCCCCGTCGTGATCATCCTCTCCTCGTCTTGCACTTGTCAACGTCACATGCGTAATATTCCTTCATCCCTCTTCCTTGTCATCATCACCCTGGCCCCCATGCTCCTTCTCCTGCGTCCTCACTCCTACCTTTTCTCGCTCCTACTCCGCCTCCTCGTTGTTCATTGTTCCTCCTATCCCTCCGCACTATACTCCTCCCGCTGCATGTTCCTGCTGCCTCCCTTCCTGCTCGTTCCTCCTGCTGCCTACCTTTCTATCGGCTCCTCCTGCTGTATGCCGCCTCGCCTCCTCCACCTCAATCACCATTACATCGTCCTGCCTCCTCCTGCTCCTTCCTCCTCGTCCTCCTCCTTCCTCCTCGTCCTCCTCCTCCTCCTCATCATCATCATGCCTCCTACTGTTTTACCCTCCTCGTCGTACTCGTCCTCGCCCTCAGCTTCGTCCTCCTCCCCCTCCCCCCCTCCTCCTCGTCGTCATCATCATCATCATCATCATCATCATCATCATCATCATCATCATCATCATCATCATCATCATCATCATCATCATCATCATCATCATCATCATCATCATCATCATCATCATCATCATCATCATCATCATCATCATCATCATCATCATCATCATCATCATCATCATCATCATCATCATCATCATCATCATCATCATCATCATCATCATCATCATCATCATCATCATCATCATGATCATCATCATGATCGTCATCGTCATCATCATCATCCTCATCATCATCGTCATCAACATCATCAAGTAATCATCGTCATCGACATCATCGTAGTCATCATCGGGATCCTGATATACTCATTATCATCATCATCATTATCATCAGCATCATCATCATCATTATTGTCGTCATCATCATCATGTTCGTCATCGTCACCATACTTATCAACATCATCAACGTCGACATCATCGTCAGAATCATCAGCAGCATCAACATCACCACCGCCACCACCACCATCACCATCACCATTATCATCATCGGCATGATCAGCATCAGCATCAGCATCATCGTCATCATCATCAATATCATCATCATCACCATCATCATCATCAGCATCATCATCGCCATCGTCATCGTCGTCGGTATCGGCATCGTCGTCGTCCTCAGAATCGTCATATTCAGCTTCAGTAACCGCATAAGCATCCATCACCACCAGCACCATCATCATCAGCATCATATTCATATCCACCACCAGCATCATCAGCAACTCATCATCATCATCATCATCATCAGCATCGTCAGCAGCAGGATCGGCAGTAGCAGTAAATTCATGCTCGTCCTCATCCTCCCGATCCTCCTCCTCATCCTCCTCATCCTCCTCCACCGTCCAAAGAAAGTCCTCCTGCTGCTGTGGATGGGGCGGCCAGCTTGCAAGTCGCGTGGCCGCTCGAGGAGGAGGGAGAGGAGAACGAGGAGGAGGAAGAGCAGCAGCAGCAGGAGGGAGAGGGAAGGGGAGGAGGGAGGTGGAAGGGGGAGGAGGGAGGTGAGAGGCAGAAGGGGGCCCCGCGAGGCTCTTCAGCGGCCCCCCAGGAAGCTCTTCAGAGGGACCCGAGAGGCTCTTCAGAGGGGCCCGAGAGGCTCTTCAGGGGTGCCCCAGGCGCCCTTTCAGGGTGACCCATGGGGCTCTTCAGGGGGGCAAGACGCTCTTCGGGGAGGCCAAGAGGCTCTTCAGAGGCCACCCCGCCCAGAAACTCTTCAGGTGGTCCAAGCGGCTCTTCAGAGGCTCTGCAGAGGCCCCGAGACGCACTTCATACGCCCCAGTGGGCTCTTCAGAGGCCTCAGGAAGCCCTTCAGAAGCCCCCAGAAGCTCTTCAGGGGGGCAAGACGCTCT